TTGGGTAGCATCAATTTTCAGATTTTCCTGTTCAGGTTGTTTTTGCAGATAAGTATAAAGTAAAAACATGTGGTTCTCTGTTGTTTTTTTAATTTAGAAACTGAGCAAATTGCATTTGCAAATTTCATATCCACTGTAAAATGATGCAACTTGCTACTTTAAAGTGATGACAAATATATCATGAACATAAACTTGCAAGTCTTCAAGAAACATTCGGTCAGACTTGTCAGTAAGTGAAGTGAGTTTTCTGAGAATTAAACACGTTTTCAAGCCCTGACAACTTCTAAGATATGTTCCATCGTCAAGTGTTTCAAACACTAAATCAGTAGTTCTAAAATCGATTGTGTTCAAATTAGATCGATTGCTTGGTCATTTGGTCATTGCGACCAACCTTGGCTTATTTCAATTAATCGGAAGAATACTAGTTTACAGCACATTTTTGTCAGTGTCATCTGTATAGAAAAAGGTTTATAAATAAGAACCCTTCAACTTGTCCAACATATGGACCATAAAATCGTAAACTGAAACATCAAATTTAGCGCTGAAAATTAGAGCTGTGACGATATATTGTAGTATCGATAATCGTGATACTTTATCTGACGATAAATATATTGATACTTTTTTTCGTATCGTGATATGTATCATTGACCTTAAAATTATTAATTTTCACCAGAAATTGGCGATTATGTCAAAATTTACACTGTTACTTGCTACCAAAATATACATTTTGAAAGAAAATAACTAAAGATAGCATATCGTGATATGCATCAAATCAAATCGTATCGTTCCAAGATATCGCAACATGTATCATATCATGAAATTTCTGTATCGTCACACCCCTACTGAAAATATACTTTTGAACCCACAGATCCTTCACATAGTCCTTCACAACACAAAATTATTGAATATATGTTCTGCATGAATACCAGCACTAACTGAGAATAATACATACACCATGTGGACACGCAGCTTGACACGCTTGAAAAACATTCTCATGATTGTTGAAAGCATAATGAAAAGTACATGCAAAGCATACCTAGACATTCTTGCACAATGAAGTCAGGCTAACTAGGAAAATAAATACCATAAGCACAATTATGGGTTTTTTCAACAAAACATCTTATGCTGTGAACAAAGGCAATTCATAACTTTGTCCTTTCTGAATAGAAAGTTTCTGGTCACAGCGATATATTCAGCTTTAAAATAAACCAAGCTAACTGGTTCGAGAGTACAGTGAAGCCCCGTTAGTCCGGACTCCGATAATCCGGATGTCTCGCCTCCCGGGCGATTTCAGCTTGTTACCAATCTATGCCTATATAATTTGCCTCGATAATCCGGAAATTCGGTTTCCGGAACCGGACAGTAAGTAGCTGTCACCAATCAGCAAAATAAACAGTAAATTGCTTCAAAGTCCGGACGCTGTAAGTCGTGTTCACGAACCGTAACAACACCGCCCGGCGATGTTTACTTAAATAACTGGCCAACTGGGTTGTTGTTTTAGTTAGACATAAAAAGCTCCCGACTGAAGATACTGTACATTTTCACTTTGATTGACACCACAAAACAAAGGCGTGGATGACAAGTGAGCTGTTTTGTGATTGGTTAATGTACTTTGACAGACAGATCCGGTCCGTGGACTAAAAAGTGATTTTGCTTTACGACAATGCTGCAAGTCACAAGTGTGCTTCGCTAACTTTGCGAAATGTGACCAAATACCACGTCTCATATTCAACCGATGGATGCAGGAATAATTCGGACATTCAAGGCATACTACAATAGATCGCTTGTTAGACATTACCTCACCTGTGCTGAGGAAGGACGTGATCAGACACGTCGGATCAACATGCGGATGTCACTCGGTAAAATTATTGATGTGATGAATTAAGCTTTACATTAAATGCTTATTTGTTTTATCCAGATTCGTGTCGTTTTTGTAATTCTTAGGGAAGCAACTTGGGTCTTGATTCAGTAGTCCGGACTATTCGGAATCCGGACGAATTTACTGAGAAACGCAACCGTCCGGATTAACGAGGCTTCACTGTATACTACACATGATGGAACAATGGCAGCCTTGTCAAAGGAGACAACAATATATTTTTTTCTGAGCAATATCACAGGCAGTGCAAAGTCATAATAAGTGAGTGAATAAAGTTTTACGCTGCTTTTAGCAACATTCCAGCAACATCACGGCAGGGGACACCAGAAATGGGCTTCACACATTGTACCCATGTGGGGAATCAAACCCGGGCTTTTGGCGTGACGAGCATCATAATAAGTATAAGCTTAGGTGTGTGTGTACTGCTTGCTATTCATCTATAAGCTTGTTTAACAGGACTCAGAGAAAGCTGCCTGGACTGTTATATTTCCACACGACCTTTTGTTACAGCTGTCACCTAAAACACTGAATAGAATCAGACATTATTCGTAACTATCTAGTAGCTGTCTACTGTCTTTCAGAGCTCCAGATAAGATTTAGCTCATGTGGGTACTGTACCCACTGTATTTTTTTTGAGTGGGTATTATGAATGTTGAGTGGGTATTTCATTTTCCGTTACCCACTGCTTTCAAATATGTGCGTATTTCAGTCATTTTATTCACCTAAGTATTATGTGACTTAGTAAGTTTACTAAGCAGGTATGTTCTGCCTTATGTCATACCTAATCAAAACCAACTTAAATATAATGGAAATGATTTCATAAAAAATCCCTCATCCTATACTGACAGTACAACACTTGTCCTATACAAACAGTACAACTTGATAGCAATCGATGTCTTTTTCATTACGCAAGCGATTATTATAAATATATTCCGTACGCATTTGTTTTAACGTTTCTGCGTATCTAACATTTTAAATGCGTAATTGGTACGCAACAATTATTTTTCAATGCGTAATTAGGAAATTTTCTATGCGTATTTTACCTGGATACGCAGCTTATCCGGGCCTCTGGTCTTTAGACGATTACATTTGCAACTTGTGAAGCACATTCTTCCTGAAAGGAAATGAATGTCAATCTAACAGCTACATAATGTCCATGTCGTTTGGAAGTGGATCCGTCAAATATAGATCAGAAAATGAGTCAGATGTGGGAATACACGGGGTGAGTATGTATGATACATATTGCACCACTCACTATGATACATACTGCACCCACAACAATACATACTGCACCTGCAACGATACATATTGCACCCACGATACATATTGCACCCGCAACGATACATATTGCACCCACAATGATACATATTGCACCCGCGACGATACATATTGCACCGCGAAACGATACATATTGCACCCACTACAATCCATATTACAGCCACTATGATACGTGTTCACCCACTAACACTGAAATGTGATGACATCACTCTGGAATACAATGATCCTTCATGCTTACATGATAACTGAATTCACCTTTTTTTATAACCTAATATGTCAACCATATTTCAGAAATTAACCAACTCATGTCATGTATCTATCAACCTCAGCGGTATCTTGTCATCACATTTCTATGTAGAAAAACAGTATTTTAGGAGCTCACAATGACATTTGAGTGAGTCGGGTTTAACACCACTTTTAGCAATATTCCATCAAACAATTAAACCACTAGGCTATCCCACCACCCATGCCAAAACAAGAACAGATCACCTATAACCGAACGGCAGGGGTGGAAATAACTTTAAAATTGCTAGTGTACTCCGGTACAGTGGCACATGTAAAATCACTTGCCCTGATCATTTTTCAACTATACCGGCCATTTTCTTGTTGATTTTTTAAATAAACAACATAACTAACATTGGAATATCAACTGGACACCGGTACAGGGTGATATACAAATTTGCTTGCCCGACAGAAAAAAACACTGGACTCGGGCATCGGGCAATGGGTTATTGCCACCCCTGAGTGTGATGCAATACCTACCAGCCATGACAGATTCACTCTGGCCAAGTTCTGATAATGTTCCCTAACTTGTTGTGAGTAGTATAGTAAACTATGGCTACAAGAAATGCAAACGGACCCCTAATTTTAGTTTGTTATAACCATAGTTTGGTACACTTTTTGTCATACAGCAAATGATAGGAAGAAAAGAAACCCACTCATTATATCCTTCAGCTCATTATAAGAGTATTCTGGATTAACATAGTTTACTGTATGTACAATACACAGAGAATTACACTCAACTCAAAACTTAAAACTTCACCATGATAAAATGCTTGATACAGCGAGAGTAAGCATCACCAGAATGATGTTGGAAAGCATATAAATTAATCTTTTGACTGGTTTACTCTTTGTTCATACATTCTGGGTTGACAAGAAGACCCTTCGATGCCCGGTTGACTTTTAAGTCCTTCTAATGTGTTTGTCCTGTGAGTATTCATTTTTTGATTGATGTAGGTTTATGAACAAGTTGGAAAATTCCAGTTTCTTGTATACAGAATCAATGATTACAGTATGCATATGTTGTAACATGTAAAATCAACCTTTTGAAAATTCTAAAAAAAGTTGATTTTGTGTTCAATGAAAATTGAAGCCAACTGAAAGTATGATTATTATTAGTCCAGCATATAACTAGACGACTTTGCACTATACCAAGGTGTGCTCGATGTAGGCCTTGGCTGGAATAAGAGTTTATTCATATGAACTAGATTATTATAACAATCGTTACACATGGGTAGCACAAATGTAACGCGTACCATCAAATATGTCAAACTTATCAACAACAACCTGTTGCAGAGTTATTGACCGAGATAGTCGGAGATCTGCTATGTGGTACAACATACTGAACAAATGCCATTCAATATTCATACGCAGTACATTCCAGAGGGACCTGTTAAAATTACAAATCAAACGGTCAATATATCAACACAGGTTGATAAATGCGTTGACAGTTACCTGAGCGAACTAAAGTCAAACCATACTATAATCTGAATAAATATGTTGTACGTGTCAAGAGCAAATTTCCCACAAAAATATAAACTTTTCTATATACGAGTTGTTAACTTACAAACAGATTCCACTATTCCCAAGACGAAGATAGGCGGACCCCAAAACATGCGTCCAACTGCTGACTGTCGCTCAGCACAGGTGTCTATACAATTACCAACCAAAACCAAGCAACAGAAATTGTTTACTTTTATAAATACACTCAAACATCTTTGACGAGATGCACAAAATAAACATTTGTATCATGTATGAATGCGTTCTTACACTAAAATAATTATCAATGGGTGGTATATAATCTATTTTTGTCAAAATTAATGAATATATTTTCATAGGTATCACAATCAAGTGACACCGGTAACATACGATGCACTTGACGTTTCGTATGTAAAAAGAATCAACATATTTGATACATAAGTAACATGTACAGTGAAAGATATTTAAATTCAATTTCATATCTTAAACACTATTTTGTTCATTTAATAGAGTTTTATTTCAATTCGCATATGTTTTGAATAAACATCCTAGCTCTGCATTGTCATGTCTGTGTGTCGCTTTATCGGAGGATCCTGAAGTTTCGCGAAGATAGTGATCGTTTCATTTCTTCTAATAGGAATTCTTTAAAATACGGCATTTGTAGTCATAGGTTCTTGTTATAATCATGATTAAGTTATTCTCACTAAAACAACAAAAGAAAGATGGCGAAAGTACCACGGCAGAAAGAGGAAAGAAAGCATCCGCTGCGCAACTCAGAATTCAGAAAGGTTTGTGGTGCACCTAAAAATAGATTTTTGTCACAAGTTCTAATTGAACAACTTGTATTGTGTCTTACGATATACATTTACAGAAAATCAGGTTATTCCTATTACTCAAGAACCGCCAGAACCTGTTCATCAAACATGTAAACATGAAAGGATAAAGCAGAACAAGAGCCAGACAAAATAACGTTCTACAGTGAATGATGAACTGAAGCTAGGCAGTCTAAGGATGACAAATTCCTTTTGAAATTTCAGGGATGATATTGAAACACATCTTTAACCCCTCTATCCCTCCAAGTTATTGGTGTGTTATGTTTCTTAAGAACACTTGAGACTATGTCTAATACGCATCAATAATACTTCAGTTCAGAGATCCATGGACTGAAAATACTATAACTTCTGTTATGAAACACTCATAAGACATGAAACTGAGGAGATTAATGACAGGATGTTCAGTGATTCCTTTGTGGGTTTCTGACAGAAAAGTGTATGTGGGGACACTGTAAGATTGATGTAAATCATAGTATGGTAAGGATCAACGAAAGCAGCATATGCCACTAGGATTAGTTGGAATCATATCTTAATGTATTTCAGTTCAGCTTTCATCTCCTGTTTCTTATCCAATTTATTGTATATACATGCAGCGCTGTCTTCTTGTACATTTAGTATATATACTCATTGATGTATCATATGATTGTTTCAAGTTGTTTGTTACAATTCACCTGGCGAAGGGGCAAGAAATAGCCCCGAAGCGTTGTGGCATACAATAAAGAAGTTGTCATCAATAATATTTGCCTTTCACTTCAGCTTCACCTGTGTATTAAAGTTTCTAATGGTTTTGCCCTGTTCAAGGGCATGATGATCATAATCACTTTTCACACCGATTGTTCATTGACTAAGATCATGCTCATTCTTTTACCCCCTAAATATCCAATGATCATGATGATGTATCAGGCCTACCAAAGAAAACTTTCCCACTGTGCAGAAAAACACAGAAAAGCCCACATTAATCGTGGAAATAGCAACATAAACACATTACCTCACTACTGAAACAGTAAAAACGGCAACGAAAACTATGAAACTGCAACATTTTTTATATCAGCGAACTTTGACCTCTACTGCGCATGTGCATTACGATGTCGGCTTCTTTCCAATTTCCCAGCAACCGTGAATCGCCTCGCGTAGAGAAAGTATTAAATATGTCAAAATAATTGCTGTCTATCGTTTCATACGAATGGAAAGTAAACTAAACAAGTGTGCACACAAGTATCATGATGATAAATGCTAAATAACACAACAGAAATACTTAAAAAGGAATGTAACTTTTGTCCAAGCTGGAAAATGTCAACATGCGGTCGAGACTTCCTCTTCCATGTGCGCATGCGCAAAATCGAAGTTGCAGGCTCCTCGTTTTATGATGCAGTGTTAGCGATTTAAAGTTGCCGTTTTTACTGTTTCAGTAGCGAGGTATTACATTTATGTTGCTATTTCCACGATTAATGTGGGCTTTTCTGCGTTTTTCTGCCCAGTTGGGAAGTTTTCTTTGGTAGGCCTGATGTATGGCAGTCAACTTTTGTTACTTATGTGTTCATAATTTCACTACCTTAGGGTTAATCAAAGAGTGAAATCATCATGCAATAAAACTGTTTCGTTCAGTGTTATGTATTCTTCTCTTGCAGATATCAATGAACTAAACCTGCCCAAGACTTGTCAAGTGGACTTTCCAGATCCTGATGATCTCCTCAGCTTCAAACTCATCATTTCCCCAGACGAAGTAACGATTAGCATGCTTTCATCCTATTACCTGATTTCTGGTGTTTACTACCCTGATATTACTGGAATATTGCTGAAAGTGGCATAATACAACCAAGTTAGAATGAACCACATTGGGGAACTAGAGTTGAAATGTTTAACTGTACACTATATGTCGTCATGCTTAAGCTGTATAGATCATACTATTCATTGCTTTCAACTATCAGTTTTACACATGGCAATGAAAAAACAACCTTCATTTACCAATGCTTCATGACTTACATGACACAAAGATTGTGTTCATTGATGTTTTTTTTTGGGGCTGTGGGATAACCTAGAGGTGAAAGTCTTCCCCCTTCACAGAGAAGAACCATGTTCGATTTCCCACATGGGTACAGTGTGTGAAGCCCATATTTGGTGTTTACAGCAGTGATATTGCTCGAGTATTGCTAAAAGCATCATAAAATATTTCTCACTTCTGGTGACCGCCTCCGTGGTGTAGTGGTTAGAGCGTCCGCCCAGAGAGCGGAAGGTCGCGGGTTCGATCCCCGACCGCGTCATACGAAAAGACGTTAAAATATGGTACTTGTTGGTCCCTGCCTGGCGCTCGGCATTAATGGGTACAACAAGGACTGGTCGGCTCGGAGTCAGTACAATGTGTCTGAGTGGGGTATTCATGCTTCACTGTGGCATGGTATCTCAGTGGGCTAGCACTATAAAACCATCTTCAGTCTGGGCTAGTACAAGCAGCCGCGCATACACATACACATACACACGCATGCACGTTGTTATATGAGCGAAATATTCTCAAGCACGACGTAAAATTCCAATTTCACCTCACCTCTCACTTCTGGTACTTTTAGGGTAGCTTTTAATGCTGGCTAAAACAATGGATAACAGAAAATGTCATGGGAAAATGTATTAAGGATATCGCTATGAAAATGATGTCATCAATAATATCATTCATAAACTTTTGTATGAAGTAATGTTTTAATTTACACAGACAGTACACAAAATTAGGTCTTTATTCATGGGCTGCTTCGAAAAATATGTTCAGGATAGTGTTTTGTTCGTAATCTAAGCCTAAATATGTCACCACTCACCACTGATGTGGTTGGTTTCTTTGAGATATGTTCTAAGTTACTTCTCCGATAGTTATCAATATTCGATTGATATACATTTAACAACTATAGATCTTTATGATCTATATCCATAGCCAGCCCTAGTAGTTTTGATACAGACTTTTGCAACTGACACATGTTGTACTTGAAACATATTTGACAAGACATTAACATGTCCAATAATGTTAATAAGATCTTTGTAAGTTTAACACCATTTGCAGATGTACATATCGCCTTCACCAAAGTATTGTAATTTGTCATTTTTGTTGCTGTTCGTAGTGTGTGCTTTTGTTTCCTTCAGATGTTGAGAATAATTAAAATCCAAGGAATTATTTATTGATGTATAAATGTGCCTGTCCTTGAGATGCTGATATTGTGTTATGTTTTGCAGGGTTTTTACCGAGGTGGCAAGTTTATATTCAGCTTTAAAGTAGGTCCCGGTTATCCCCACGATCCGCCGAAAGTGAAGTGTGAAACTATGGTGTACCACCCCAACATAGACCTAGAGGGTAACGTCTGTCTCAACATTCTCAGGTAAGGACATTGCAAGAAATAATCAACAGTAAATAAATTGTACCAGCATATCTGAAACAACTTCTCTAGAAATATACTTCAAGCAACAACCTGAGATCCAATGATCAACTATTACTAACCATCCCCAAGATCAATGTCAAATCCTTTGGCCATAGATCATTCTCATTCTGTGCTCCATCTCTCTGGGGCTGTCTTCCTTTTAATATCCAAACCTCCCCATCTTTAGCTGTCCTCAGTCCAAACTTAAACCCCATCTCTTCTCCAGGGTACCTGAGTACTGATACACTGTAGTGGATGGGGCATCAGTTGCTTCATGCCAAAACGTAAAGATGGTACTTCTGGTTGCCGTTGCCATGGTTACCCTGAATGTTTAGTATTAAAGGGCTAATAGTACCATGTAAACTGCATCATATTTCACTTGGTCAATGTTCTCATGTGATGGATGTCATTTTTGTTTCAGAGAAGATTGGAAGCCTGTATTAACTATCAACTCTATAGTTTATGGATTACAGTACTTGTTTTTGGTAAGAACAAATTCCCATACTTCTTTATTTTTTCCTCTCCTTTCTTAATTAACAAACCGAGTCAGGTGATCAAACTAGTAGGATGAGATTTTAATGAGGCTTTAAGCTTCTGGTGCACTCCAGGCAGCTTTGGTTGTATCCTCCCCAGGGAGTTGAGAATGAAAGGTTTTGATTTAGTGCATTATAGTGTGAGTATGGTTTTATGCTGCTTTTAACAATATTACAGCAATATCACGGTGAGGGACATCAGAAATGGGCTTCACACATTGTACCCATGTAGGGAATCTAAATTCAGGTCTTCGGTGTGACCATCCAGCGCTTTAACCACGAGGCTACCCCACCGCCCCTAGGGCATTATAAATATGCACATAATCATTAAGGTAGCTGAATATGATAGGTACTTTCACATGTCAGATGATAGCTAACAGGGGCGGTGGGGTAGCCTAGTGGTTAAAGCGTTGGCACGTCACGCCGAAGACCCGGGTTCGAATCCCCACATGGGTACAATGTGTGAAGCCCATTTCTGGTGTCCCCTGCCGTGATGTTGCTGGAATATTGCTAAAAGCGGCGTAAAACCAAACTCAGTCAGTCAGTGATAGCTAACAGAATAATAAGGTTACTGGCAACGATCGGTAATCTGTATGGATAAGGGTTGTAGCAAAATGATACATATCCTGATAATATGTAGGTCACATACAACATTTTATCATTTGTTTTGTGCTTTAGATTAATTTTTCGGGCTAGGTTTTAAATTTGGCAGCTAAGAAAAGAGGTACAGTTTGTTCTATCACCATGTGTAGTGTAAGAAAGTACAGTTTGGCGCTGAAATATTTTAACGTTAAAGCACTCAGATGCAAGTGTAGTGCAAACTGTATTTCTTAAGTATTGTATGTATTTGATACAGGAGTTGTAAATTGATGTATTGTATTGTGAGCCTTGTATCATGCTGTTAATCACTGGATTGTCTGGTCCAGACTCGATTTTTTACAGACCGTCGCCATATAGCTGGAATATTGCTGAATGCAGCGTAAAACTAAGCTCACTCACTCGCTATTACCATCTGATACATGGCATGGTTCCACACCTCCCAGATTGTTACACAGATTTCAGCACGGCCCCTCCAGTTTCTCTTACAAAGTCTTGTGTCTATTTCCAGGAACCTAATCCTGAGGATCCTTTAAACAAGGAAGCAGCGGAGGTGTTACAGTCAAATAGGAGACTGTTTGAACAGAACGTTTCTAAATCTATGCGCGGGGAGGATATGTAGGATCTGTACTTTTCGAAAGGTGCTTAAAATGAGGATGGTTGCTACTACGACGGAGTTGTTTGTTGTCAGAGACCTGAAGGGTAGTGCCTTGCTCTACCTTATGTTCATGCACTATGCGTTATCGGAATTCTTACGAGCTCCAACGTATTGTGACATTTTGTGATCACAGACACCCCATGTACTCCATGGAATGGTGTGTTTTGAACGAGTGCTGGGTAACTGATTGTATTTTACTGAAAGGGAAGCCAGTAAATTTACCATTTTCTACTTCTCTAAACAACTGTTTATAAGCATATTTATGTACTTGGTGAGATAACTTGAAAATTACAAGTTTTCTTGAGAAACACCACATTTTCTTCAGTAAAATACAAACAAGTGTATCATTATTCTGCCTCTTTGCATATATTGTACTGATTATGTTCCTGTCAATTTTATGACAGGAGTAGAGGGGATCATGTCAAAATATTTGTGTCATTTTAAGATAATGATTTTAGTGTGAAATATAATGTCCTGCATTTCCTGTTTGTTGACAATAGATGATGTTCTGTGAGACAAGTTGTCGTTAAAAATGATGTGAAAAGTTTTGACATGGTCCCCATTGTTAATATGCATTGTTCTGAGGCTATATTTAGAAATACATGTGTATGAATAATGACCGATTCATGTCTTTATTAATGATAACTCTACTGTCCTGGGCCCTTATTCTCGAAACGTTCGTAGCCCTAAGAATTCTTAACTTTGATCGTAACCAATGTGTTAAGAATTGGTTTAAGAAGTTCGAAGGGCTACGGACATTTCGAGAATAGCTAGCCTGGAACTATTTTATTCTGTATGCAAACAGATTAAGATTATATCAGGAATATCCAATTACAGCTGTCAAACTAAAATGCCTTTCACAGTTAATGCGTTCAGCAGGTGATTGGGTTTGAAAGCTTTTATCTCCTCATTTCCTCATAAATATTAAGGTGGTTTTGTTTCGTCTGTAACCATGGTAACACAAGTATAGGTACACGAACAGTTTCAGTTCAAGTGTGGCATTATAAAGAATTATTTTTGTATTATTCTTTCACAAGTATAGTGGAAACAATTAGAGATTGGATGTCAAGAAAATCATAAACATCATGGTAGTACAGTGGAACCTCATTAACACTCAATTCAGTATACTGTAAACAGATATGCCAACCTCTATGGTTTTATCGTAGTCTGCAAATTTTAGCCTCAGACTACGCCAATACGAGTGCACTAGAAATTCTACAAAGTTGAAGAAAATTCATTAAAATTCAGTATAATGTAAATGCACAAACACAGCAAAATGTACAAATCAGCTTTTAAGAGGAATATTCGAGTTACAAGGTGGCTCGAAAATCAGATAGGTTATCTTGGCGATGTTTACATACAAATTTGGAGTCAATCTTTTTTTTGAGAGAATACGAGATGTCTATACTAATGTTTGATGGCTTCAGTTTTCATAAGACCGGCAAGATTAGTCATTAATAAGGCTGGGGAAATAGCAATGGGTTACTTAGTGGTCTCTCACAGAACTTCGTGTGCAGAGTTGTGTCCCTTTGTAACTTGTATCATATGCTCCTTTGCCCATTGCAACCTTTCCAGGGTTGTTGCTCCTACCAACAGGCTTCACATAAAGTGACATACATGTCTTTAGGTAGTCAATCTTACTATTTCCAAAACAATTTTATTTTTCAAATTGACAAACAAACAAGATAAGTTTGCTGGGGAATAAATAGTAGTGCATCATGGCAGTATTCATGATCAGCCATTTGTGATCTCAGCTCCATGCAGGGTTATTGGCCACCAGCACATGGGGAGCTGTGACTGGTGGCAGCTGCTGTAAAGAGCTCTGTAAACTGCCAGTTACTGTAAGGAGCTTGGCTATGCATCTTTCAGCTGACATACCATGATATGACCAAAACACTGTGCAAGGCAGAGGAAATCCAAAAGTCCATCACCTTTAGGAATGGGATAATTTATTTTTCAAATTTGATGATTTAGATAAATGAAGCTCTCAAACGACTATGGTACAGTAACACAAGGCCTTCGTATCTTATTGTTACAGTGTTTCAGTAGAGTGCTCTTTCAGTATTGGGGGCGGATTAGCCTAGTGTTTAAAGCGTTCGCTCGTCACGTCGAGAACCCAGGTTCGATTCCCAACATAGGTACAATGTGTGAAGCCCATTTCTGGTGTCCCCCGCCGTGATATTGTTGGAATATTGCTAAAAACAGCATAAAACCATACTCTCACACTCACTCACTCACTTTGAGTGGCATATATATCGGGTTGTCACAAGCTGATAGAGTTGATGATGGTTCCACGACATCATGTATGTCTACACTTCCTTTTACAAGTTGTATAAAGGAAGAAAACAATCTTTTTATGTGTTTTATTTTCTTGGATTTTCTTTTCACCTATGCCTGCTACCTTTGTTATTACGCTGTCAGCTAGCATGGTTATATATTCCTATTAGTGTAATTCTCAGTGTTTATGGCTATAAGCATTATAAGACCATTGTGTACTATAATACTTGTGAGACAAAATTCCTAAGTACAAATGAGGGACAAATATCAAAGATTTGCCAAGTCCACTAATCCACAACATGTGATAATAAAGAAGAGCCGGAGACAATTCCTTGCTGACTTCCACATTCACAATTAGGTAGATGGCAGATAACTATTTTGGACTAATTAAACTAAAAATGTATTTATAACCATTTTTATGTGTCATTTCCATTAATTTGTCAGCTCTGGAATACGCAAGGACATTTATTTCCTTCCTAAAGTAGTGTTGATGACAATGTAGGTGAGTTAGTTGGGTGGAGGGTGACTGCTATAATGCTGATGTTACTGTCCTTTTTAGTTCTGTTTGGAAACCTTGTCTTACTAAAAGCAGCATGATCAGACTTAGATATTAACAAGTAAGCCTCCTTACCATACTGTGGACTGGAGTAAAGAGTCACATACATGCTCTTCCTATATTATGTAGTGGAAACTGATTCAGAAGGTTGTCTGTTCTATGCTGTAATGAGTAAATTGGTGAATGACAAAATAACAGAATTTTGTAGCTGAAATTATAAGCTAAGGAACAACAACATAGTTATAACAGAAAATATTTGTTTCTTTTCTCTGAAATGAACGATATTAATTGCCTTCCAGCCTTCTTAATTCAATTAGGACTTTGTGTATGGTTAGAGGTTAATGAGCTCACGTTAATCTTTATGCTATGGTGATTTCACGAGATTTAGAAGCAAGTTTGGTTCCTGATATGGATGCTGCTGTTGTCAGTTGGTTGACAATTTACTTTGTGATAACTCTGTTCAGTGGTTTCACATTTTAAGGTAACAGTTTTGACGCAGTTTGAATTAAAACAACACAATGAATGATTGACATACATGCGAAAGTCAAGTTTCTATCAATCCAAGGAGTCTAAAAGTCAAGAGGTAGTGTTATAATCTGTTCATTCCCGTATGTACCTCATATTCCCATTGCCCATTTCTCACTACAAGTTGGGGTCAGATGGCAACAGGGGTCATTCCTGTTGCAGATCATTCATGCCATTTTGTTCATTGTTTTGTTGAAAAGTTGAGTGAATTTTGTTTTAAATATGCATGATGTACATCCAATATGGCAGACTAGAAGTTCTAAGACCGTGTAAATTAATGATCGACTCACAGAACAATGGGATAAAGACATTTTGCTGGTACTGCTGTTTTTTACCCATCTGATGTTCTTTTAAATGATGGGTTTTCATTGGTCTGACAAAAAGACCTGTGACTATTTAGCACTGTAAAATGTTCATATGATCAACAGTACAGATGATAACTAGGATTAAAATATCCTTCCTACCAAAGGGTGTTTTGTTTCATTGTGGGTGCTTGTGCAGGGTTGCCTCCCCTGTTATGCAAGGATCTGCTGATTATGGATTTAAATTCCAGATTTGCCCTGATTGGAAATCCATGTTGGTCAATACCTGATGTGGGTTTCAGGTGACCTGGGGCTTGTGTGTCACTTTGGGCTATTGTCCACCCTGAGCTGACCGGCCATGATGTAAGTGAAATAGTGTTCGAAGGTGTTGAATATCACTTACTGGACATTGGTCATGTCTGAGGGCACCAGACTGGACATGTACTGCTCAAGTCAATGGACACACAAGTGGAAGACTGTCATGCAGTTCCCACCACCCAAGACAGATTAATAACCATGATCATATGAAAAAAAATACAGGTGTTCCCTTACTTTATTTTGAGTTGTATAAACAAGCCAATTCTGCAGTTCCAAAACCTGTTTCCAATCAAGGGATTACACCTAGACCAAGGTTTTACTTAAAGCAGTATGTTCCAAAGCAGGAATCAGTGTCTTGATGTTTTGTTTACTGATTGGATAAATTTCAGAACCGTTGATGGGGACAGGCAACTATGGACATATGAGTATCTGTGTGACTTGTATAGATGACCAGTTGTAAACTTGTATACCGTATTGTAGTTTACACAATATTAAAGATACACTGCCAAAATGATCCTTATTAAATCATAGTAAATGCGAAAAGGTGTGCGATAACAGAAGAGGCATATTCTATCAAAGTGAATATACTAAATTGTCAAAAAGTGAAATAGCAAGATTAGGATAGAAGAAGAAATTGCCAATAAGAACGAAGCTCAGGATGGCATGGCCCGCTGTGCCACAGGTCGAGCCCAAGATATTTATCCAACAACCAGAAGTCCTCGGTATACAAGTATGAAACATGAATAAGTGATATTTGTGATTAATATTGTACATGATGTCTTTGCTGTAACAGTCATGTATTTTTGGTTAATCTGAATAAACAGCCATGTTTGTTTTATCTGCATGTTTGTCTCTAGCTGACCAATAAGGGGGAGAGTTTTATGGATGTCAACTTCTTTATTATGAGGAACACAGTGTTTCAGAGCATATCCTTACTCCATCAGTTGAATTATTCACCTGATGGAGTAAGGAATAACTGCTGAGACATTGTGTTAAAGATGTGAATTATTCACCTGATGAAGTGAGGAATAACTCTGAAACATTGTGTTAAAGATGTGAATTATTACACTGATGGAGTAAGGATATGCTGTGAAACATTGTGTTAAATTATTATTCACCTGATGGAGTAAGGACTATGAAACATTGTGTTAAAGATGTGAATTATTCACCTGATGGAGTAAGGATATGAAACATTGTGTTAAAGATGTGAATTATTTACCTGATGGAGTAAGGATATGCTGTGAAACATTATGTTAAAGATGTGAATTATTCACCTGATGAAGGAGTAAGTATATACTCTGAAACACTGTGTTAAAGATGTGAATTATTTACCTGATGGAGTAAGGATATGCTGTGAAACATTGTGTTAAAGATGTGAATTATTCACCTGATGAAGGAGTAAGTATATACTCTGAAACGTTGTGTTCCTCATGATTAAGAAGTTGGCATCAGTAAAGCTCTCCTCTTTATGTGTATCACTTCTAAATGCCTTTCAAAGATCTAGCTGACCACTTAACATAAATCATGATAATATCCTGGCCCCCTATTGTCGAAACATTTGCAGGCCTAAGAACTTCTTAAAACCGTTCTTAGAGCTTACGAATTTCTACTATCCTATTCTCGAAAGGTTCTCAGACTTACGAATTAAGAATTTGTAGGTCTACGCTTCAGCAACCCGACCTGTGTAGATCCTAGTTACAAATTGGTCGTCAGCAACCCATGCTTGCAAGGAAGATGTGACAAACGGGCAAGCCTGTCCAGCTTGATTGATGCGTGTTGTCATATCCCAGATGTGAAAATTGATGTTCATGATTACTGATATGCTTGATTATTGTTACATCCTGATTTTAAAAAATGTGGAATATTGTTCCTTGTGGCCTTAAACAACAAACAAAACAAACTCAGGAAACAGCTCCTCAGACTCGGCACCTCTATTCTGGTCAAGGTCACTTAATTTTGGCTAAAACAGTATTCTTTGACCTACAAGTACAGGAAATGGTTATGGTGAGTTCTCACGGTGTGACATGCATGCAACAGAGTTGCAACGTCAGAACCCAGTAGTCGTAACGATTACAACCAGTAGCAGCAGAACACAGGATTGGTCCTAATTCCTATTACAAATCGACCAGTCATGTCGTTTTGTGGCCACCTCAGAGTGACGCCATTTCTGTTGACGTCATGTCAGAGGCGCTGCAGAGGAAACTTTATCTTACAGAGAATAAAACTGAACAGTGTTTCGTGTGAGAATCCAGTTGCAAACCCAAGCCGATTTAGTTTATCTTTTCTTATTTTCTTTTAGTATCTGCTTGCGTCTCTCATGTTATGCGTGAGTCGTTACAATCTTTATTGTTGCTACAAGTCGCACCGTGGGAACGCACCTTTACGGTGTAAATAATGGAACATCAAGAAAATGTACAATATATTTATTTACACATCAATATTGAAGAGACAGGATGTCTGCGAACATACAAAGCTATAAACAGGTATTTTGTATCTCCATAACATGGAGTTAATAGTTAGGATTAGTGTGCCTTGTTCAAAGCGTCCATAGTCCTGATGATAGTAACTGCCGTACCTTAACATAAACCTTATAACATTAACATGCTAGGTCATGTTGTAAACGGATACCCAGTTCAAGATTGACATTGATATCCAATCAATATAAAATAAATACGCATAGAACGAAACAAAAGTCATGGGTTGGAGGATGATGCATGTCCTCTAGAGGCAACTTCTTGCTGTTCAGGGCCTAGATTTTCGAAGCTCTCTTAGCGCTAAGATAGTCGTACGTTAATGTTAATGTATGGCACTTACTACTATCTTAGCGCTAAGAGAGCTTCGAAAATCTAGGCCCTGGACGGGTATTTTTAAGTAAACCGGCCTTGGTCCCGTTCCAAAAACTAATCGTATTGCTGCGATAGTCGTACGTCCGTGTTGTAGTATGGGACTTCCGATCACCTTGGCGGTTTGATACTCGTACGTCTATGTTAAAGTATGGGAGTTACGATCACCTTAACGGTATGATACCCGTACGTCTGTGTTACAGTGTGGTACTAAGTTGCGATCACTTTCGCGCTACGACAGTCGTAGTCTATGTTAGGCAGTGAGAGTTACGATCACCTTAACGGTATGATACCAGTACGTCTGTGTTACAGTATGGGACTAAGTTGCGATCACCTTCGCGCTACGACAGTCGTACGTCTATGTTAGGGAGTGAGAGTTACGATCACCTTAACGGTATCATACCCGTACGTCTGTGTTACAGTGTGAGACAAAGTTACGATCACCTTAGCGCTACGACAGTCGTACGTCTATGTTATAGGGTGTGAGAGTTAACGGTTTTATCAATATTTGTTTAACATTCTGTTATTGGTTTTAGAACAGCAGTTGTGGAATTGTATACTTTCACCTGTACTCAAAGGTAAAAGTTCTTTGTGACGCTAATTTGTTTCACTTGCAAACCTTGATAATCCACTCCTAGCAACCACTGGGAAGTAGATATTCTGAAAACACTTCTCTTTGATAGTGTTGGCAAGATTTCACTATGCCACGTCCAGGAATATGTTAAGGTCGCGAGACATGAATACCTGGATCCGGTGCCTTGTACCATGACGTCACACATCACGTCAATGGGACCACAATAATGCGACATCAGCAGCACAACCACGTCAAACAGTACCAGTAGTACCCGCCCAACCGTGGCAACACATCGCCTCGTATCTTGGACACAACTTCTCTCATCATCCCTCATAAACCGAAGGGGATCAGGGAAGGTCTACCCAACATCAATGCACAATGTGGACACATTTGCCCATTGCTATGAACCTGCCGATACCATCCTAGGCCTAGATTTTCAAAGCTCTCTTAGCGCTAAGATAGTCGTAAATTAATGTTAATGTATGGCACTTACGACTATCTTAGCGCTAAGAGAGCTTCGAAAATCTAGGCCCTGGTTACACCTGCAGATTATGTTTCCAGGTAACATGGGGCAAATATACCTTTTTTGGGTGTGTGTTTGTGTGTGATATTCTTGTGTTTTCATTCATTCATTTATGTCTTTCTTCTTTTTATTGTTTATTTTTTATTTTTATTTTTTTATTTTTAAATTTGGGGAGGGGGTATTAAATTTGTTGCTTTTGTTATTGTTACTTTGTAGTTAAAAACAATAATAACAATCATGTATGACAAATAATGAAAGTAATTAAACTGAGTAATTGTGGGATACGAAACTCTGTTGGCTGACAGTTAATAACCACAGTTAAACCACAACAAATACGGCCACTCCAGGGCTTATCATGGGTTTGTTGAAGAGAAACAGGTCGTTCACAGAACATCAACATTGCTTGTATTCGTTGTCTGAGGAAACCCTGCAATGTGTAGAGAAAATACTAGTTGTCTCTGGTCATTGACATCTTGACAGAGTAGACAGTTCCAGAAAAGGGCTGTGTGGGTTTGTACCGTTGAGATGTATCTTCTTGAGTCCGTAAGGGCATCGTGTTTCGTGATATCAAGCGTCTTCGTGTATCTCGATACAGAATATACACACACTGGTGGTTCAAGGATGTAGATTATCACGAAGGCGGGATGTAGGAAAAACAAACTGCCATTATAAAAATTAGTTCAGTTAGAAAATGAAAACACTTTGGGATCTGTTCTATGGCGTTGGTGTAGTGACGTCGTGGTCATGGTCGTGCTCGTGTATGTGGACATACGTAATGTAGAAGACGGCTCCGAGGACTGCGCCGAGGAGGATGAAGAAGATGCCGAGAGTGATGGCAACAATGGACAGATCCTTGGCGTTCTTGCCCTGTGCCGCCGCCACCTGCATGTCACCCCGTCTCTTGGCTGATCGGCTCTGGAAACACAAAACACATTTTGTTTAAACTTCCATTCACACAAACACAGTACTATCATTACTTAGATAACGCTTTTATTACAAGCACTTCCGTTACATTAAAGTGCCCTTCGTATAGCATTAAGAAAGTAATAAATAAATTAGTGGCTCAAACAATTCAATTTGCATACTGACAAAATAAAGGGAGATAACTCTTAAACAAATTCAAATTTTCAAGAGAAACATAAATAATGTAAACGAAGAGAAAAATACTCGGAAATTTCGATTTTAACAAATGATTATTGTGCTACCTAAATTGCACCATTATACTTCCGTATATTTCTAACCAAACCAAAAACGTTGCCGTCGATTCTCATGGGCAGGCGTGCGATATCATCCAACATGACATAGTAACTTACCCTGCAGGCGTACACGAGCGCCGTGATGCCGGCCGGGGTGAAACAACAAAAACACGCAAACAGTGCCAGCTTGAAGTGGCTGGTCGGTCTCTCCGAGAACATGGGACCGTCTCCGTGCATGTCCTGTAGCAATGTTAAAGTGATTGACTTGTGAGTTAATACAATTTGTGTGTGTGGTTCAACGCCTCGTTAAGCAATATTTCAGCAATATGACAGCGTCATGAAAGCCAGTCTGTACCAAACAAACCAGTGGCTGATAGAATGAACAACAACACGTCGGGTTACGATGACCTGCTATCAGCCAATCGAGTGTAGCCCGGCCCAAGTCCATTAAAGTTACCTCCGGAGACAAGTTTAGAAGTCTTTTTCTGTTTACTTCGCCGCAATCATCAACCTAAAAGGAGATCCTCAGAACGTACTTTGATAAAGTAAGAGAATTGTTAAGAATGTGGACTTTGGCTTGCACACACTCAGCCAGTTCAAGGTTTGATCCTGGTCAGAATTGGCCTTCAGAAACCCGTGCTTGTCCTGTGAGGCGACTTACTGAAGCGAGTGGTCCGACTCGCTGTCATTTTAATCATTTCATCGTATCCTGTTTCCGTAGGGGGGATAACTAATAACTAGTTTGTCTAATTCAGACACGACTATTTACAGACCGTCACCGAATTTCTAGACAACAAATACACGTGTTCTAGGCCATATTGAAACTCCCGTAGTGACACTAATCGGACCAGAAGAGGCCCTCGATTATACATTCTCATAATAATCTGCTGAAATTTGTATTCCATTATCTATGACATGGCCTATTGTGCCAACAGTGTGGTCGATGTTCTCTCATGGCCAGCCATGGTATTACCTGGTCCAGACAGACTACAGGTTGTGGGGATGTGTAACAGGAACCCTCTATGATTACTTAAAAACCTTTACTCACTCGTGGTTTTTTAGAAATGATCTACCAATCGTACTAATCATACACAGCCGCAAGTGTGCACATCAGGCCGCGATTTCTCGAAACAAACTTCAGTTTTTACTCAAATTTCAAACTGAGTTTGACAGTTTGAAACAGCTGAATTTTTAACTCAACTGCATTTTTTAAATAAAAAAAGCCCAAACAACTTAAGTAATCTATCCACCAAACTCAAATTGTCTACTAAGTTTGAATTTAATATTGATTTCAGTTTATTCTGGGAAATGCATTTTCCTGCGTTTTCTCAAATTTGAGTGAAAACTCAGACTTAAGTTTGTTTCGAGAAATCGGGGCCTGATCCACACTTAAATCTTCTCTCAGTTGTATTAGTCTTCAGGTGATGATTTTAAGGTGATAAAATTTTGGTAACAATTTTTCCCCACAAATCTCCATGGACCTAGAGTGTGTCCCTGGCTCAGTCCAGTCTGATACTCACCAGCCGTACTGTAGGCTCGTCAAAGGGCTTGGGTCTGTAGGAGGCAAGGTACGCCCCATTGTAGACAGTGTAGGGGGTGGGGATATCAGACGCTGGACGCGGTGTAGGGGTGGGGAACAGATGCTGGAACATGGGATAACAGGTTATAGACAGTGTAGGGGGTGGGGATATCAGACGCTGGAACAGGATAGGATAACAGGTTATTGGAGATAGTGTAGCTAATAGAGATATATAAGGGTGAGCCAAATGTGGTCTTTATGTGTATTAGTTAACAAATTTGAGAGCAAAACACAAATTAATGGCATACGTTTCTGATTGTTCTTATAGAAATGAGTACACGAAGGATCAATCAATTTTCGAGTATATTTGAGGGGCGCCATGTACTGGTTTCAAAGGTTTAAACATTGTACATGCTCACTTTCCACCCGATAATATTTCGTGAAGTAGAGGGACACAAACGACTGATCTAATTGTGCTTCTTCTAATATTTAGAAGAGAGTCGTTTATGTTTCGAAAAACATATTAGAGTTGATAAACATATACTGTTCAAAAGAAGTTACAAAATGCAGCCAAGGTTTTTTTCATACGGCATCCTATTACTGTAGTCATGAAAAACCCCGATGTTCTTAAGGAAGGATAGCAAGTTACCCGATGTTCTTTAATAACAAAAATTGAGAAGCATGACCTTGTTCAAATGAAACTCCATATTTCATAATAAAGGCACGGATCCAAATTAGACATCGTGTTTCAACCACTGTGTGTACTTCAATAACGGCTATAAATATGAAAACTTTATCCAAAGGGTACTTTCTCACACTCCGAGTCCATGGCCATCTATCATCCCGAGACTTTTGCAAGTTTGCTTGGCGAGTGGGTTCACCCAAGGGCACCTGCTGAATCTAACAACGTCATCTCACATCGATCCGCTAATCAATCAATCAGCAACTCTCAGTCACTCAGGCAACTTATATACCAATACACCTACGTACAGTCGACAATACAAGACCTGTGTAAATCACTGCAAACTGGGAAAATGATTTAACACATCGGGATTGCGCCCAGTCCGAGCTCTTGTGTATAAATTTTGATTCGTTTTTAAAACATTTAGAAGAAAATATACTCATCAAAAGAAGATAAGGAACACCCAGTGCCATGCGAGATTAAAAACAAAATTCGCGTGTTCTTTAACATATTTTCAGTCATGCTTGACAGATTAACTGAAGTCAAATAAATTAAACGAGAGAGTTGACAGATTAACAAAAGTCTTATGAAAAAACGCCTCTTTTACTTCTTTAGATTATTACATGTTCTCAGCAGAAAAAAACAACTTCTGAACAAAAATTCTTTCGTTTGACGCGGTAATATGTCATAAATAAACCAAGGCAACAAAACAGACAGTTATTTACATGGAGCTACTGAATATAAATGACGATGGTTAAAAGTCATTCTGTTCAATGGGACTGCATTTCAGATTGATCCCATTTAAACTGTGTATTAGAAAGAATATTTGTCAAGACCTTGTACCTTGAGATGATAAGGTGTGACGTGTCTAAAAATATCATCATTCAAATATCATTTATCTTTCACACTGTACATTTCCCACGATGTATGAAACTAGTTAGATATTGAATAAATTATTTAAGGAAACAACATCTGAGCAGAATTTGAAAGTTCTGATTTTCTAATTCACAACAATTCTTAAAAGAAATGCTGATAAAATTCACACTTTGATTAAAAACGAACACGATGACAGTAACCTTGGGTTTTGTGTATATTCCACGAAACGCCGGTGTGAAATTAAGACATTTATAAACTAAGAAGCACTGTGCTTAATGGAGAAGCTGAAATGGTATCATCCTACATCACTCTATGGAACAGACATTCAATTTATCAATGACCATCAATGTCATTTTTAAAAAAACATACGCGCAAGAAAAATAATAAATTGTCCAGTAACCAGTCGATAATTATTCTACAGAAATTCATCTATGTTATAACGTTAAGAGACTTAATTAAGACTGCATCACAGACTGGAGACATATGGATGTGTGTTGTGGCAAGATCGAATTCGCATAACATACACCGATGTATACATCATACTTGGTGTGTAAAATGATTTCATGATAGTTTTACTGACAAACAAATTGAAAAATGATACTTACTGATTTTGGTCATGTTTGAGTTCAATGTCGCACGGCGGGTGTGCACGCGTGATCACGTGTTCTGTATCCTGCAGCGATCGGATGACGTCGGGGGGCCTTTAAAACGAGTGAGTGATCATAGTTTTACGCCGCTTTTAGCAATATTCCAGCAATGTCACAACGGGGGACACAAGAAATGTTCTCCACACATTGCACCTATTTGAGGAATCGAACCCCGGGTCTTCAGCATGACAAGCGGATGTTTTATCCACTAACCTACCCCACAGCCCAGCGTTTGCTGCATTGACACTCATAGTTGGTTCTTACAAGTGATGATGTTTAGATAAGTAAAACATAGGCTCTGTTTAGCTTTGCCTAAGATAGCTATCTACTGGACAAATGTGGTATCCATTATTGACATAATATATATTATAAACTTTACATGATCTACTTTCGCGTGAAATTTTAAAATTGTCAACTTTAAATTGTAGTTCAGTTTATACAAAAGGCCAGAATAACACAAAACCAGTGTGCAGTGTTTCCATGTTTCTTTAAAAAAATGTCGAACGTTTATAAACAATCGTCATAAAATATTCATAATATGTTATCAACAAACGAAATAATTAAAATAATTCAGAACAAAGTCTTACCGTCGTTTCCTATTCATCCATTGCACAACTTCGAAAGGTTAATCCAGACAATCTGTACAGATTTCAATTCACATATGTTAAATGAAAGATGCTTCTCAGCCGCGTACGTCTTCTGCAACCAATGCTAAACTAATCCCGAATGCGATGCCCCACCTCAAGGTGTCCAGTCCCTACCCCAAGGGCGATGTGACGTGAGTGATATATGCGTGCATGGTCACACCTTAAGCAGGTAATTACTCAGACGCCGGTGCAATACCTGATCGTATCCCACCTGTACAATAACGCAGGTTAATTGATTTATTGGGTACAGATTTCTTCCTGGGTGCTGAGGGAAGTCAGAATACAGTCAATGGAACATCCTTGTTTCAGCTGCTTGTTGCGTGATTGGTTCCACTTGTATGAAATCATTAGGACAGGCACTTTGGGTCGGCATTCCCCCTTGGCCATTCCTGGACAGCATGCCTCCAGGTGATAGTTGTCATAGAGGCGACTGAGATGATCGGGATCAAAGTATTAAGGTAGGATATGGTTTGGAAACATCTGGTTACAGAATAAGGCGAGGTGAGGTGAAATTGGGTTTTACGTCGTGCTTGAGAATATTTCGCTCATATGACGACGTGCATGTGTGTGTATGTGTATGTGTGGCTGCTTGTACTAGCCCAGACTGAAGCTGGTTTTATAGTGCTAGCCCACTGAGATACCATGCCGCAGTGAAGCATGAATACTCCCACTTGTTTGACACAAATTATATATATTCACTGACTCCGAGAAGCTGGTTTTATAGTGACCAGTCCTTGTTGTACCAATTAATGCAGAGTGCCAGGCAGGACCAACAAGTACCATATTTTAACGTCTTTTGGTATGACGCGGTCGGGGATCGAACCCGCGACCTTCCACTCTCCGGGCGGACGCTCTAACCACTACACCACGGAGGCGGTCCGGATATGGTTTGGATACACCTGGTTACAGAATAAGGATTCTGAGTGAGTGAGTATGGTTTTACGCCGCTTTTAGCAATATTCCAGCAATATCACAACGGGGACACTGGAAATGGGCTTCACACATTGTACCCATGTGGGGAATCGAACCCGGGTCTTCGGCGTGACGAGCAAACCCCTTAACCACTAGGCTACCCCACTGCCCCAAGACGACGCAATAAAAGTAAAATATGGAAGTTGTTATCCATTAACTGGACCCGGGAAGACCGGGTCAATACTGGTTTTCAGCAACCCATACTTATCGTAAGTCTTGGGGGATCGGGTAGTGTGGCTGGTTAACTTAATTGACGCATGTCATCGTATCCCTATTGCGCAAATCGATGCTCATGATGTCAATCACTGGATATTCTAGTCCAGAGTCGATTATTTGCAGACCGGAGTAATACAGCTGAATATTGCTGAGTTTGGGGCTAAACAACCAACAAATCAATTAACTGTGTTTACTTTTGTTTATAGTTTCAAATGCTCATATGTGCATGCGTGATTGTCCATCCAGGATCACTGTTCATTCCAGCCACACATAGGTGAGGTGAGGTGAGGTGAGGTGAGGTGAAATTAACGGGTTTTACGTATGGCGGTCGGGATCTAACCACTACTAACCACCACGGAGGCGGTCGACAGAATAAGGATTCGAAAGTGATTGAATAAGGATTCTGTACCCAGTGAGTGAGTATGGTTTAATGTTATCCATTAACTGGACCGAAGGCCAGGTCAATACTGGTTTTAGCAATATAAGTCTAGGGGATCGCTTATCGATGCTCATGATGTCATGTCACTGATGTCATCATTGGATATTCTAGTCCAGAGTCGATTATTTGCAGACCGGAGTAATACAGCTGAATAGTCTGTGGCTAAACAACCAACAAATCAATTAACTGTGTTTACTTTGGTTTATAGTTTCAAATGTGTGCCGATTGTCTATCCAGGATCACTGTTCATTCCAGCGACCACAGACATACTGAAGAGGTGGTTTCCTTACATGACTCTTGACATTAATCTCGAGTTTCATCTGTAGAGCAATACTTGTTTGATAAGGACATGTCCATCTATGACTGTGAAAGTGACTTCTTTGAGTGGTATTTAAGAGCTGGTATGATGAACAGGAACAATGTTTATGGATAGACTTCTTTATTTGCAATGTTACCAAGGGCTTGTTTGCATCTACATGGAAAGGTCACATTGTCTATCCATGAAAAATCGATCCTGTTCACTGTGAGAGTGAGCGGAGTTTAACACTGCCTGTGAGGGTCATGTGGTAGGAGTGAGTGAGTGAGTTTAGTTTTACTCTGCACTCAGCAATATTCCAGCTATATTGCGGGCGGTCTGTAAATAATCGAGTCTAGACCAGACAATCCAGTGATCAACAGCATGAGCATCGATCTGCGCAATTGGGAACCGATGACATGTGTCAAACAAGTCAGCGAGCCTGACCTCTTACGACAAACATAGTCGCCTTGTACCGCAAGCATGGGTTGCTGAAGACCTATTCTACCCGTGATCTCCAGGGGCCTCATGTGGAAGGAAAGTGACAAAGGCGTCAAACTACTTACAAGACAGGGCCATTTCTGCCCCTAATTCATCTGATATATGCTGAACATCTGCTGCTGCTTAAGAGACAACCCTGCGTTCATGGCAGGATACAGTCAAGTTTCGAGTCCCAACCTTGTTATTTTGTGAGAAATATTGCTGGCTTGAAGACACTGGGACATCCATGCATCCCCGTAAATGACAGACACAGAAAGTATTCCTATAGTCAAGGAAAACTCGGCTTGAAGCAGCATTATTCAGACTATACCATGAGCATGTGATATTATATCCCGTCAAACAGTGTACAATACCCAAAGTGTCATTTCATCCATCATGTGATAGTCATTTTTCCTTATATACTATATACTTTATGTTATTTGCTACCTAACCGCCTCCGTGTAATTGTTAGAGCGTCCGCCCGGAGAGCGGAAGGTCACGGGTTCGATCCCCGACCGCGTCATACCAAAAGACGTTAAAATATGGTACTTGTTGGTCCCTGCCTGGCGCTCGGCATTAATGGGCACAACAAGGACTGGTCGGCTCGGAGTCAGTATAATGTGTCTGAGTGGGGTATTCTTGCTTCACTGCGGCATGGTATCTCAGTGGGCTAGCACTATAAAACCAGCTTAAGTCTGGGCTAGTACAAGCAGACGCACATACCCATACACACGCATGCACTCGTCATATGAGTGAAATATTCTCAAGTACGACGTAAAACCCAATTTCACCTCACCTCACCTATTCGCTACCTATTCTGTCAGTGTGAGTGAATGCAATGTGCTTTTCTAATGTCTTTAAATTGTTTTTTAAAAAAAACCCGTCTGACTGTAAAGATACCATGCTCTTCTACGTTGACTGAAGACAACTAAGGTTGTACTAGAGGTTTCGTGTCAACTTTAATGGAACAAAAACAACATCAACATTTTCACCATCTTTATTCCCTTAAAGATCTTTAATCTTACAAAATCACTTTCAATAATCCTGTTCGCCAATAATGAAAAGTACTTGCTGATACTGAAAGCTGCTACAGCATCTATCCCTGATCCAGACTGACACAGACTGAAGGCCAACATACGCACACAAACACAAGCAAGGTTACCATGGTTACGCACACACCACTGTACACCTCCCATTTGTCCAAAGCTTTGGTATTTTTGTATTTTTCCCAATACACAGGTAAGGAAAACATGTCTGTGTCAGCAAAGAAAATCCGGCACAAAAACATACTGTCGTGTTCAAAAACTCACACAAGAACAATCTGAAACCATGTCGTACATTTTTTCAACTGGTAAAAAAATCCTTGCTGCTCGCATTTACTGAACAAACTATGATTGATAGTGAATATTTTAGGGATACCGGAGTGTGTATCTACACAGACATATTGAAAAAATAGTCACTACCCCAGTCTTCTTTTGGTAAGTACATTTAAAACATCAATGCCTGAGAGTCTGTTGTTTGTATCTTTATGAGTTGTTGACAAAACAAGGGACATCTTGCTTTTCCAGTGAATGGAACATCTAAGCATCCTGTGCACTCTCAATCACAACAAACAAATCTCTTCCTCCCTCAAATACAAGCTGATATAAGCCTCACGTTCTCATTTCTAAAGAATATACACATCGTAACACACAGAAACATGGGACGTCAGTAACGATTTCACAAAACACAAGCAGAGAAATGGCTACAGGGAGTGAATGACAATAAGGTGAAAATTGATGACCACAAAAATAACATCTTGATGTCTTCTATACTATTACGTTTGACCAAATATTTTCAAAATAAACTTGTATACTTGGAAACACATATACCACTCAAAGGTTGAAAAGCACCTGTTTTATAATGACCATAGTTATTCTGTCATGACAAGAAAAAGTCGTATTTGAAAAATTGGGTGTTCTTGAACATTTTGTAGTGGTATACGTGAAGCGAGATGTGCGTTCAAATATCCTGTAGGGTCCAGTTTCATCTTCCTCACTTGATCAGAATATTAGTCCTGGATGACAAATAGAACATTGCCTTAAATTGAAGATCTGACCCAACTGATTCTGGCCTCAAAGTACATCTAGACTTATAATCTAAGATTGTGGCTGACTGGGATATCATGACGCTGGCATCTTGCAGAGGTATTTGATGGGCAACATTTTGATCTCCACCGTCAGTTTTGATCACGCCTTCGACCCCGTCAATACTGAGCAGGGTACCAGTCAGTTCTCTCTCATCTCCCAGGATAACCTTGGCCTGGAACAGTGGCGACAGTCACATTACAAAATATCATGGCAGTCGTAAAAGTACATGAGTAGTTAATCAAAAATAAAATATGACTTAAAAAGGAGAAAATAACCCAACAAAACAAACTAATTCTTACTACTTTAAAACATTTCCATATGCTTGTAAAACTAGTTCAATCTGCATATCACAGTCTTCATATAATGTAACCATGTGGATGATCTGACCAGGGTTGTGCTCTGCAGAGTTATGCAACTTAGGAACACCAGGATGTGTTAACAGTACATTGTGTTTAAGATCTGCTTCACCACACATATCAACCTGACACTGTGGTTATGATATACTGTTCAACACATTAATGAACATGATGATATACCCCTCTGATAAACTCAACACAGAGATGCCAACCCTGAATCAAATGAAAGCAGAGTCATGCCTTGCTAAAAGCAATTCCGAGCCCTGAGGGTGCGAGTTGGGGGTGAGCGTGAGAGGGGGCTCAGGCCCATTCAACGGTTGGGTCTGGAGGGCCTCCCCTTTGAAAATCTTTAGATTTAGCCTGGAAATGTGCAATTTCTGGGCATACTTAACCAGATAATACTTAACTCAAATGAACATATTTAAAAGGCTATTTACTAAGATTCTTTCAAACATTCTAAATTTATAAATATATTTGTATTTTCTATAAAATCAGAGTTTTTTATAGACAAATCGGAGAGTGGACTTTGTATTTGAAAATCGAAGTAACTCCTCCAAAATCGGAGGGGTTGGCATCTTTGTCCACATAACGGCACCTAGTGAGTGAGTGAGTGTAGTTTTATACCCTTTTTAGCAATATTCCAGCAATATCACAGCAGGAATCACCTGAAATGGGCCTCACACATTGTACCCACATCGGGAATTGCCCCGGGTCTTCTGCGTGACAAGCGAATGCTTCAACCACTAACTAAGCCTCCCCACAGCCCTAATGGTGAGACCGTGCAGTGGTGGTCTACATGATCAGCTCACCTTGTCCTGTTTTTCAGGCTGCACAGGTTCCAGATGCTCACAGGAGACATTGACGACCTTGTCTTCATCCGTGATGTACACGGAACACATTCCTCCCTGGCAGTAAACAAACAGCTTGTACAATGTACATCAATACATGAAGACAAAACACTCAGTCAGTCAGCTTCAAGTTCAACCCTAAACATATCAGTCAGTCAGCTTCAAGTTCAACCCTAAACATATCAGCCAGTCAGCTTCAAGTTCAACCCTAAACATATCAGTCAGTCAGCTTCAAGTTCAACCCTAAACATATAAGTCAACATCAACTCTAAACATATCAGCCAGTCAGCTTCAAGTTCAACCCTAAACATATCAGCCAGTCAGCTTCAAGTTCAACCCTAAACATATCAGCCAGTCAGCTTCAAGTTCAACCCTAAACATATCAGTCAGTCAGCTTCAAGTTCAACCCTAAACATATCAGCCAGTCAGCTTCAAGTTCATCCCTAAACATATCAGCCAGTCAGCTTCAAGTTCATCCTAAACATATCAGCCAGTCAGCTTCAAGTTCAACCCTAAACATATCAGCCAGTCAGCTTCAAGTTCAACCCTAAACATATCAGCCAGTCAGCTTCAAGTTCAACTCTAAACATATCAGCCAGTCAGCTTCAAGTTCAACTCTAAACATATCAGCCAGTCAGCTTCAAGTTCAACTCTAAACATAAACATCAATTTCAAGTTCAAGTTCAACTCTAAACATCAGCTTCAAGTTCAACCTAAACATATGGGAGTCAACTTCAAGTTCAACTCTAAACATATCAGCCAGTCAGCTTCAGTCTAAACATATCAGCCAGTCAGCTTCAAGTTCAACTCTAAACATATCAGCCAGTCAACTTCCAAGTTCAACTCTAAACATATCAGCCAGTCAGCTTCAAGTTCAACTCTAAACATATCGGACAGTCAACTTCAAGTTCAACTCTAAACATATCGGACAGTCAATTTCAAGTTCAACTCTAAACATATGGGACAGTCAACTTCAAGTTCAACTCTAAACATATCAGCCAGTCAGCTTCAAGTTCAACCCTAAACATATCAGACAGTCGGCTTCAAGTTCAACCCTAAACATATAAGCCAGTCAGCTTCAAGTTCAACCCTAAACATATAAGCTAGTCAGCTTCAAGTTCAACCCTAAACATATAAGCCAGTCAGCTTCAAGTTCAACCCTAAACATATAAGCCAGTCAGCTTCAAGTTCAACCCTAAGCATATCAAAACATATCAGCCTGTGTCACACAACTCCACACATGGTTGTAGGCTGCTGTCACTGAATGGAAATGTGATTGGAGACAGCAACAGTGTAGAGAGCTCTGGGAACAAGCCATGAATGTGAGGAGCTTGCTCATTCTTCATCATGGTGTTACCCATATTCTTTCCAGTTAGGGACCGTTCATAATTTATGGCTAGGGGGGGTGATGATGATTTTTATGGAGAAGCATGTACAATGTGAATGCCCCGCCCCCCAAATTTATGCACAAAATAAGTGACCCCCTGCATGTCATGTACAAAATCAATGACACCCCCTCTCCTTCCCATAATTTCTAAGCATAATTTTAAACATACTTTAATGTACAAAATTGCTGACCCCCACCAGAACAAAACGGTGACCGACACACCCACCCCACCCTCAAAAAAAAATTTAAAAAAAAATAAATAAATCATCGTCAAACCAAACCACCCCACTTCAGCCATAAATTATGAACGGTCCCTTATGTTGACCAAAGAATCCTCCTACTGACAACCTGGCTCTTATGTCTTAGATCATTCAGAGTGAAAGTTTTAGGAATGACCACAATATTGGATCTTGTACTGGTTAGTTGGTTTGTTGTGTCACGCCGAACCCAGCAATATTATAGCTATATGGTCGCAGTTTGTAAATAATCAAGCCTGGACCAGCCAATCCTGTGATCAACAGCATGAGCACTGATCTACGCAATCGGGATAAGATGACATGTGGGTCAACCAAGTCAGTGGGCCTGACCATCTGATCCCGTTAGTCACCTTTTACAACAAGCGTAAGTTACTGTAGACAATTGTAACCCGGATCTTTACAGGTCTTGGAGCTTGAACTAAATGGAGGTGAGGTGAGGTGAGGTGAAACTGGGTTTTACGTCGTGCTTGAGAATATTTCGCTCATATGACGACGTGCATGCGTGTGTATGGGTATGTGCGTCTGCTTGTACTAGCCCAGACTGAAGCTGGTTTTATAGTGCTAGCCCACTGAGATACCATGCCGCAGTGAAGCATGAATACCACACTCAGACACAGTATACTGACTCCGAGCCGACCAGTCCTTGTTGTACCCATCAATGCCGAGCGCCAGGCAGAGACCCACAAGTACCATATTTTAACGTCTTTTGGTATGACGCGGTCGGGGATCGAACCCGCGACCTTCCGCTCTCCGGGCGGACGCTCTTACCACTACATCACGGAGGCGGTCTTGAACTAAATGGAGGATGTGCTGACTGGGTGCTACTTACAGTGACGCTCCTGATCTCCCCGGTCTGGAAGATGAGGTTGGGGTCATCATGGGTCTCCTTGATCTTCACCATGATGTCCTGTGTGTGCCAGTCAGCCATACTGTGGTCCATCGCTGTCACAGGGATACACAAATGTAAGACTAGCATACATGCACCAGACATAACGGAATGCGTCACTTTTGGTATTCTGTGTTTTACGCCTCAATCTGCAATATTCCAGCTATATGCCGGCAGCCTACATATGCAGCCTGGGTCAGACAATCCAATGATCGATATAATGAGCAACAACCCACAGCATCAGGATACGGTGACACAAAGAACCAAGTCATAAAGCCTGACCACTCAATCTATTAAGTACCTCTCTGACTAAAAGCTTGGTGGCGACAAATTCTAACCCAGTATCCCAACAGGGAAATGTCTGGTTTTAATATACACACTTGTACAACGGACACATTCATCAAGTACCTTGTGTAGTTCAAGGACATATTCTGATGAAATTAAGATGTGATGTCAAAGGACACTGTCAGGTCATATTCTCGTGATGCCTAACTTCTGCCCCATCTATATCCTCATCGTCCTATATCTTAGATATATTTTAGAGTTTAGATACTTGGTTGGTTGGTTGGCTTGTCGTTTAACGCTGCACCCAGCAATATTCCAGCCATTTGGCGGCGGACTGTAAATAATCGAGTCTGGACCAGACAATCCAGCGATCAAAAGCATGAGCATTGATCTACACCACTGGGAGACGATGACATGTGTCAACCAAGTCAGTGAGCCTGACCACCCGATCCCATTAGTTAGATAGATATATAATCAAGATATAATTTTTCACTCCTTTATACAGATATATCTCAATATTTAACTTCAAAACCTCAATACAGCTCATGCCTACCTGTGCCTGGTGTCTGTGGTGTGAACGGAGCACCTGGTGTCATGGGGCTGTAACCCATCGGAGAGGGCGTGCCCGCATATCCCCCGGGGGAGGGGCTAGCCTGGTAGCCGGCAGGACTAGGGGTGCCTACATAGCCAGGACTAGGAGCTGGAAGAAAGAAGGATGGCAGTGAAAGTAACAGACACAGACATCAGAAAGCAGCTCCTTACTGAACCTTTACAGCAGAATATCTGCAATGGCAGAGCAACTTTTGACCTGCAAGTGCTCGAATACACATACACAGGCCAGACAAATATTTTGCTTGTATTAGATTCTTTGGAACAAATTGGTTGGTTGGAGGAGGGAAAATACTAACAACAAACAGCCTTGTTCAGATGCTTGATTGGCATTTTAGAAGATGATATTTGATGAACATAGAGATTTTTTCTGGGTTATGAATAAAAAGAAGATGTAACCCAGAAAAAATCTCTATGTTCAGCCTTGTTCAGTATTTTTTTACTGGGTAAACTGATCAGATTGAGAAGGGAAAATATTTGGAAAGTGATATACACATCTGGCCTTCAGAGACACCTGTTAGTGGAAGGTGGCAAATACAAAAGTCCCTTCCTTTCCATTCCCGTACATTTCAGATTAGTGATCATATAATATAATGCAATTAGACTAGTGTAAATGAGACGATTTGGGGAGAAATCATCTTGATTTTCACTACTCTTATACAAAGGGACTTCTGAACGTGTCTGTCCTAATGACTGACAGCAAATGTCATCCCACACCTGGGGACAGGTTATCATCAGGCTGATGGGGACATGCTACTCACCTTGGTAGCTGGCAGGGGAGGGGGAAGCCTGGTGGTAGGGGGAGTAAGCACTGCCCGGTGTCTGGGGGGTGAAGGGACCCATGGGACTAGGTGTGTCTGCCTGGTATCCGGGCGTGCCAGGGTTTGGAGTCGTAGCATAGTCAGCCGGGGAGGGGGACTCATCAAAGTTGAAGTCAAATTCATTTGGTCTGAAATAATGACAGCATTACAAATCATCAAATATTTCCCAGAGCAAACCAATTATTTCATTTTCAGTATGCTTTCCCAGTATTTACATTTGTTTCCAAAGGACGTCAACACTTTCATAAGCAACCACTTCTTTCATTCTCATACAAAATACACTTTCAACAAAACAGTGAGTTTAGTGCCCCTTTTAGCAGTATACCAGCCATATTTCATTGGGTAAGACCAAATTGGGTTTCACATAATGTACCCTTATGGGAGATCGAACCCAGACCAGCTGTGTGACAAGCTTACGCTTTCGTCTCCAGAGCTCATTGATAATCTCTGATGCAAGTGAGATCGATCAGTTGACCAATTAATTGGTCAATCTCTCCAGCACTATTTGTGTCACTAACACATTCTTATGGTTCTTCATATGTTTGTAGGGGCGGTGGGGTAGCCTAGTGGTTAAAGCGTTGGCTCGTCACACCGAAGACCCGGGTTCGAATCCCCACATGGGTACAATGTGTGAAGCCCATTTCTGGTGTCCCCCGCCGTGATGTTGCTAGAATATTGCTAAAAGCAGCGTAAAACCAAACTCAGTCAGTCAGTCAGTCATATGTTTGTAACCTAAAAAATCTTCTCATGTGAAGTCACGCTAAACATCAGAGACATTAACCTCCTGGGGACATGAAGACACTAAATACAGTAGAACACGGATATAGCGAACACGGATATAGCGTACAAACGGATATAGCGAACAAATTTAAAAGTCCCGTCAACAATCCTTTATGATATCATTAGAATTATACGTGAATAACGAACTCGTGAGTAGCGAATTAACGGCTATAGCGAACTGATTTACTACCCCCAAGCCCAATTAACGACGTGATTAGTGAACTCACTCAGTGTCAGCTCAGCCACTTAGCGGTATACATCAACCTTGTTGGAGGCGAATCAACATATTGTTGAGATTGTTGTGATTGTTAAACATGTTCTAGCTAATGTCTGTGAATGATAAATTCAGAATTTTAATGTTATGTCAATAAACATGTACAAGAATAAAGATTTGTAGCCTCAGCATATACGTGTCTGTACATCTCTACAATCCAAGATGGCGATCAAATGTGAATAACAAACACCGGATATAGCGAACTAAATTTCTTGGTCCCTTGGAGTTCGTTATATCCGTGTTCTACTGTACTTCAAGACATTGTCCCCACCTGGATGGCGTGTTGGCACTGGAGGGGTCCCATGCTGAAGATCCCGGGGTGCGACTGCCCGGCTCGTGGGATGGTGTCTGACTTCCATAGTGCGGCGTCCTGCTTCCGTCCTGTACAGGGGTCTGGGAGCCGTACATCGGAGTTCTGGATCCACCATACATGGGTGTCTGGCCACCATACACGGGAGTCTTTTGGTGGGTGGATGTGAAACCACCGACCTTCTGTCCCTCTGTAGAGAGAAGGAATATTGGATGGGAATATTGCAATGATGAAAATTGTTTAGTTATCTAATTCACACAATAGATAAACATAAGCTGAGGGCATGACAACTTAATTTGAACCATTATGATGACATCAATCATGATATGGTTTCAGTCAGAGAAATCACAGGAATCTGTTAATTCTGGAAATGGCATAAAAATTCAGGGCTTGCAGAATTAACAAGCCCCTTATGTTGATTCAACTTCAAGATTCAATATTCTCCTGATTTCTCAATTATTGACAAAAAAAATTCCAACAAATTTCAAGTGGCATCAGCAATGGCCAAGTTGGTCGTGTAAAGCAACACGACAGAGTGAATGTTGTTTCTGATGGATTCAGCAAAGTTCCACAAATATCTGTTGTCTAACTAATTCTATCTGGGTGGTTGATAGGATGAGCGTGATCTCCACCATCAAATCTGGGTGATGGACTTCAACTCAAGTTTGTCTGACTTCATGAAAGAGCTACAGCAGTCTGCCCATAAGTGCCATAATCATGGTAAGAGACAAAGCAGCATGTACTGACGTGAGTGTGGCAAGTCTGCTCCCGGTCTACAGAGATAGTCTTGCAACTGGCGTGAAGCTCCACTCTTGCAGTCGATTCTGTAGCATCCTTCACGATACCAATATAACCTGCAAGGATGAACATCTGGTCAAACATTGTGTCATACATCTGGTCAAACATTGTCATACATCTGGTCAAACATTGTGTCAAACACTGTCAAACATTGTGTCAAACACCTGGTCAAACACAGTGTCAAACATCTGGTCCAACATTGTGTCATACATCTGGTCATACATTGTGTCAAACATCGGGTAAAACACTGTGTCAAACATCTGGTAAAACATTGCGTCAAACACCTGGTCAAACACTGTGTCAAACATCCGGTAAAACATTGTGTCAAACATCTGGTGAAACACTTCAAACACAAAAATAGAAGACAACACCACAGAATCCTTTGACTCACAAGACGAAAACTGCCAAGTAGTAGCAAAATCTTGGTTCGCCAATCAAATGACAGAGAATTTCTATTTCTTAATGATCAAATGGAACAATGACAAAAACTTCACATGCCAACACATTATGTGGAACAACAGCATAAACAAAATATGATCGACTGTATTAAATATTTTTATGTACATGTGCTAAACAGGTACATAAAAATATGATGCCATTTCTGGAAAAGTTTTGAAAGGAATGAAACATTCTGTGACTGTAAAATGAAGGAGATTAACAGCAACATGAAATACACATCCACCTACCCTTGAAGGGTCCCTGTCTCACTCGAACCGTCTGTCCAATAAGCTCACGGTCTCTCTTACTGATGCCACCACGCCCTCTACCCCCGGCCCCTCCTCCAGCGCCTCCACCCCCAGCCCCACCACTCGGGTGAGCAGGGCTGGCCAAACGGGGAGACATTGGCACAAATCCTCCAGCACTAAAACTGGTGTTGGTTTGCTGCAAATGAACAGAAGGATGACATTCCAGCATCACTTAATGCTGCATTCACTGATCTACAGATTTCAATCCGATGTCAATATTTTTCAAAATTAGAAGTAATGGCACTAATTTTGCAGCAATATTTACCCACAGTTATATTTGCTCTCACATATAGTTTAACATCAAGGTTAGACTCGTATAATTAATGCACGTCCACACAGTACACAAATACAGTGGAAGCTGTCTAAACCGGCACTCGCTGGGACTGAAGAAATAATCCGGTTTTGACAGCGTGCCGGATTGTAGAGCTGACACAGTTACCTACGACTAGAACTGAGCTCATATTCACTTTTATTCACTTAATAACATAAACGTGATACCGTTGGTGTTCGAAAGACTCCACCGATTTAACATCCCTCATGAGTGACACGTGTCAACTCACTAATTACATGTACAAGTATACCCGTACTTAACTCAGATTAAATTATCTTTATCGGAAGACATGTAGTTACTTAACGTGTGATGGCTGCCACACGCTCATAATTCCTTGTTATTTCCACACAGGGTCAACACATCCGGCCGACTCTTTGCCACGCCCTGGATTAGACAGCACTTATTACTGTGTAAACACATCCTTCCGACTCCTTGCTATGCGCCTGGATTAGACAGCACTTATTACTGTGTAAACACATCCGGCCGACTCCTTGCCACGCCCTGGATTAGACAGCACTTATTACTGTGTAAACACATCCGGCCGACTTCTTGCCACGCCCTGGATTAGACAGCACCTGGATTTGGACCTGGCACTTATTACTGTGTAAACACATCCAGCCGACTCCTTGCCACGCCCTGGATTAGACAGCGACTTATTGCTGTGTAAACATCGCCGGCCTGACTCCTTGCCACTTACGCCCTGGATTTGACCTTGCACTTAGACAGCACTGTGTAAACACCGGCCAACTCCTTGCCACGCCCTGGATTAGACAGCACTTATTACTGTGTAAACACATCCGGCCCGACTCCTTGCCACGCCCTGGATTAGACAGCACTTATTACTGTGTAAACACATCCGTCCAACTCCTTGCCATGCCCTGGATTAGACAGCACTTATTACTGTGTAGACACATATTCGGGCGGCTCATTTCATGCTGAGATCCGGAATTGACAGCTGCCGGACTGCAGAGCTTTTAAGCCACGGACGGGACTGAGATTTTATGCCGGTGCTGACAACTTGCCGGATTGGACAACTGACAGCTTTGCCAGCTTCCACTGTATATTACTTATGAACATTCTGGAAAACTATTTCTGAAAGTCATGATGTAAAAGATCTAGAAGAAACTACAGACAAAATGTCTTAACTTGGAAATAGTTCTCTCAACAATTTCTAGTTCATTCTGTGGTATCTATAAACAAATCATGGCTATTAGTTGTCCTGTCCTGAGACTACTCACCCTTGATCCCCAGCCAGCACAAGGTGGCGAGTTCGACACACAAAGTAGCCACCGTTTTCTGTCACCATTCTTGACATGAGGAATGCGTAGCTGCGATACAGGTGCTTGATCTCGCCAGACCGACCCTGAAACACAACAACATTACTTCCAGAAACAGAGACTAACCTTGGTTGACTACTCCAAAATGTTAACCGCATCCATCAAATGTTTATAGTACAAAGTTGTATCTTTATTCCCAAGCTATCTACAAAACGTAAACAAAGCAGTAGGGTCAGTGAGTGAGTGAGTGAGCATGGTTTTAGGCTGCCTTTAGCAATATTTCAGCAGAAATGGGCTTCACATATTGTACCCATGTGGGGAATCAAAAGCAGGTCTTCGGCATGACGATCAGGACGCTTCAACCACATGGCTACCCTACCACCCCGAAAGCAGTAGAGTAATACATTACCCATTACTGACTTTAGTTTACAGAAAGATGTTAAGTCATAAACATAGGCACACACTTTGCATAGGAGAAAGATATATTCTTAACAGAAAATTCATAACATGAAATGCCACTTACCGACTGCGGTCCGTCGATGACCTTGACAATGTCCTTGACCTGAATGTTATTGTTTTCAGAGTCCAGGGCAACTGCATTCCGTGTGTCCTTCTTCCTAGTCAAGGCTTGGGGTTTTAAGTTCTGTACCTAGAAAACAGAAAACACATTTTCTCCAAAGCCACAAGTCACATAGGGCTTACACTCACAACATAAACTGCATGTCATGCAAATAATGCATGTGGGGTTTTCAAATGTGGTTCTTTTGAAAGCTCAGATTGGATTGTGTACTAATATATCGATATTAAGATACTAAAATTGAGTTGATTAAAGGAGCCAAATTCCAAGGCTTGTCAGAAATAAATTTAAGCATTTTTTCATCCAACAACCAGTTACATCAATCCATAAGTCAGGGAATAAGGCTGATTATGCCATTACCTCAGGGTTGAATAGTTATCTCCCCTACTAACCTTGCTGCATATGCTAGAGCAGAAAGAAGTATCTCTGACCTTGTAGAGCATCCCATTGAGCTTGCTGTGCATACTAGAGAATATATCTCCTATACAGACCTTGTCATGCATGTAAGTGTAATTATCTCTTTATTGTCCTTGCTGTGCATGCTATAGAATATATCTCCTATACAGATTTTGTCATGCATGTAAGTGTAATTATCTCTTTATTGTCCTTGCTGTGCATGCTAGTGAATATATCTCCTATACAGACCTTGTCATGCATGTAAGTGTAATTATCTCTTTATTGTCCTTGCTGTGCATGCTAGAGAATATATCTCCTATACAGACCTTGTCATGCATGTAAGTGTAATTATCTCTTTATTGACCTTGCTGTGCATGCTAGAGAATATATCTCCTATACAGATCTTGTCATGCATGTAAGTGTAATTATCTCTTTATTGTCCTTGCTGTGCATGCTATAGAATATATCTCCTATACAGACCTTGTCATGCATGTAAGTGTAATTATCTCTTTATTGTCCTTGCTGTGCATGCTATAGAATATATCTCCTATACAGATCTTGTCATGCATGTAAGTGTAATTATCTCTTTATTGAACTTGCTGTGCATGCTGGAGTACAAGAGTAGTTATCTCCCCTACTCACCTTGTTATGCATGCTGGAGTAGTTATCTCCCCTGCTGACCTTGCTCTATATACAAGAGTAGTTATCTCCCCTACTCACCTTGTTGTGCATGCTGGAGTAGTTATCTCCCCTGCTGACCTTGCTCTATATACAAGAGTAGTTATCTCCCTGCTGACCTTGCTCTATATACAAGAGTAGTTATCTCCCCTGCTGACCTTGCTCTATATACAAGAGTAGTTATCTCCCCTACTCACCTTGTTGTGCATGCTGGAGTAGTTATCTCCCCTGCTGACCTTGCTCTATATACAAGAGTAGTTATCTCCACTGCTGACCTTGCTCTATATACAAGAGTAGTTATCTCCCCTGCTGACCTTGCTCTATATACAAGAGTAGTTATCTCCCCTGCTGACCTTGCTCTATATACAAGAGTAGTTATCTCCCCTACTCACCTTGTTGTGCATGCTGGAGTAGTTATCTCCCCTGCTGACCTTGCTCTATATACAAGAGTAGTTATCTCCCCTGCTGACCTTGCTCTATATACAAGAGTAGTTATCTCCCCTGCTGACCTTGCTCTATATACAAGAGTAGTTATCTCCCCTACTCACCTTGTTGTGCATGCTGAGGACCTGGAAATTCTCCTTCTCCAACCTCACTATGGCTCCCACTGTCTGGGCACTGCAACAGAAACACAGTTCTCATACCAATTACAGAATGTCACAGTGGCTCGCCTCACTCCACACACAATGTGAGAATGTCACAGTGACGGCTATATTTTACATTTAACTTGAGAATGTCACAGTGGCTGACTTACTCTATCATGACCAGGTCCCCAAACTGGTACTGTCCCATCGAGTCAACTCCAGTGGCCATATCTGTACACAGCTGAAGATCTTTTGGCAACACTTTCAGCTGAAACACACAGCCAAAAACCTCCAACTACATGACATGCATGAAAAGGAATTCAATTTAGAAATCAAACTTGTTGACAAATAATCATGCAACTGAGTATTGGCAAAACATGTACTGCGAATATTAAGATTCAGCTACCTGTATTGCAACATAAGGAGCTATAGTGTCTGACAGTGATAGAGTGAGTGAGTGAGTTTAGTTTTACGCCGCACTCAGCAATATTCCACCATATGGCGGCGGCCTGTAAATAATTGAGTCTGGACCAGACAATCCTGTGATCAACAGCATGAGCATCGATCTGCGCAATTGGGAACCGATGACATGTGTCAACCAAGTCAGTGAGCCTGACCACCCGATCCTGTTAGTCGCCTCTTACGACAAGCATGGGTTACTGAAGGTTCATTCTAACACGGACCTTCATGGGTGAAAGTGATTGACACTGACTGTGCTGCAGATAGTATTTTCTGCAGAATGAAGTAAATATTACAATGTCCAAATCAGCATGGTCAGTTCTCACCACCATGAGACTCTTGCAATCAATTTGGAATGAAAACACATGAGAATGTATTTCTAGGTAAATTTCAGTATAGATGATGACGTAATACAAAACCAAATATTCTCAAACAGAAATTCTCAACCAAAAATGCTGGAACACAGAAAAAAAAGTACTAAATGTCTTATTTAAAAAACATATTGCAACATACTGAAACACCATTAATGCTTGTTTAGAAGAAAATGGCACACAATAACATTTGGGTAAGGAGAACATAAGAAACTGAATATGGGAAGACAGAGACCTGGACTTGGTCTGTTATACATTGCAGAATTACAACTATGACCACTGCCTGACCAGTGGGCAGTCTGGACAGTGTGGCCTCTACTACATCCTCTCCCCTGCCATAGATTATCCACCTGCAAGTAAGTCCTCACCTCATGCATGGTCAGATCGGAGAAGAGGACCACCATGTTGTCCTCTACCCTGACGATGAGTCCTGTGTCTCCCTCGAACCGTCCTCTGATCACTTTCACATGGTCCCCCATCTTGAAGTACTTCTGTAGCTCATGGGCTGGGAACTCCAGTGGATCCTGGAAACATTGTGTGCATAAGGTTGATTATAACACTAATAACAAGAAGATCCCACCACAGTGTTCTCTTCCTATTTGGCTCCTGTTTCTTAAAGCCCCCATGACATTCATGTCCTGAAAACAAATATCAAATTTGGTTTCCCTATCTATAAGGGTTACTGAGAAAATCTGTTCCCACTGGGGAAAATGTGCACTTAGTCAAGAAACACATGACAAGGGCCATAACTCTGTAACAAATTGTAACAGTTTCCGTTTTCAAAACCATTCAACGCATTCATGTCCTGAAAACACATATGAAATTCGGTTTCCCTATCAATAACGGTTTCTGAGAAAATCTGTCCCAATTGGGGATAATATGCACTTAGTCAAGAAACACATGACAAGGGCCATAACTCTGTAACAAATTGTTACTCAGTTTCCGTTTTGAACTCCATCAATGCATTTGTGTCCTGAAAATACATACCAAATTTGGTTTTCCTATCTATAACGGTTTAAGAGAAAATCTGCCCCCATCGTTTCGGACAGACGGAGCTGAAACCTACATCCCCCTCCCCCTCTGTGATTCATTGGCAACATTAAAATAGGGTTACCCATTTATCTTCACTACCCTGTCTGTGTAATCTAGAGTACATCACGACATCCTTGATTCATCAATCCAGTACCTTGTTAAGTGTCACATCAAATTTCAACTGAGTGTGTTTTAACACATCAACCAATCAGAGACTATGTATCACGGTCTAATGGACACTTCAACACTATGTGAACTGAAAGCATGGCTCTCACTGGTTAGTACAGCATCACTGTAAACCGCTTCACATTATTAGTTAATCAACACGTTCCTCTTCATGACATTTTATGCATAAAAATAGTTCGTAAAGAAAATGACAAAACATCTTAATTTTGAAGAAAACACATCATATATAACAGTACGGGTAATTTTATTCTGAAACTCATAACTGTTATGCCAAAATTGAAATGATTGTCATCTCTGTTTGTACTGACTGAGTTTGGTTTTACGCATGCGCTTTTATGCAATATTCCAGCAACATATAGTGCTAGCCCAGGAACACCAGAAATGGGCTGCACACATTGTACCCTTATGGGGATTCGAGAACCAGGGTCTTTGGCGTGCCGCAGCCAACGCATATTTTAACCACTAGGCTACCCAAACACCCCATCGTCTCTGTTTGTAACACATGACACAGGGACAGAAATTAACACAATAACTCTACTAGCCTGAAAAGTAATAGCATTTAGGAACAACCCATTCATTCCAAAATCTACCAGCCCTTCAGGTACTTTTAACACTGGTGAAACAGACTCGGGCAAGCAGACTCTTGTGAATTTCAGTCCCTGTGAAAGTTGTCTCTATATCCTCCTCACCTTCAGGTCCTCGTGTTTCGGCATGATGGTGATCTTGTTGCCCTCCACACGGATCACACGTCCCTGCAGGTGCAACAGCTCGCCCTCACACACCTCCACCACGTCTCCAGGGGCCAGGTTGTGCGTGACCTCGGATGTCGATGACTTCTTCTGGGGTACCACTGGGTAGGGTTAAGGTGAACTGACATTCCAGGTAACAAGACATATAACAACAGCAATTCACTTACCATTTTTAAAGGAGAGAGTGAATTTTTATTCCTAACTCCAGTTAAACATCTTACAGCTGAGTGAGTGAGTCAGTCAGTGAGTGAGTCAGTGAGTGAGCTTTTACTAGTTTAGCAATATTCCAGCAATATCACAGCAGGGGACACCAGAAATGTCCTTCATACATTGTACCCATGTGGGGAATTTAACCCAGGTCTTCGGCTTGACAAGCGAGTGAGTGAGTTTAGTTTTATGCCGCTTTTAGCAATATTCCAGCAATATCACGGCGGGGGACACCAGAAATGTCCTTCATACATTGTACCCATGTGGGGAATTGAACCCAGGTCTTCGGCATGACAAGTGAACACTTTAACCACTAGGCCACCCCACCGCCTCCGCTTACAACTGAAGTACAGCAATCACACTAAAATCAAACCAAGCAAACCAGTGATTGATAGCATGAGCAACGTAATTAGTATCATCACTTTTGTTTGTTGCTTCACGCCAGTCAGGAACATTTCAGGAATAGAATAGAATAGAATAGAATAGAATAGAATAGAATAGAATAGAATAGAATAGAATAGAATAGAATAGAATAGAATAGAATAGAATAGAATAGAATAATACTTTAATGCCTTTTCAGGAATTTGTGTTACATCAGCAGAGCTACTGACACATTAGAGAGATACCAAACATATTTACATAAATTCTTTGATTTAGTTATCTTCACATTTGTTTAAGAGAGATATGGTACTTGGAATAAAGGATGTACAGGCTCTCTTAGTTTTCACAATTGGAACTTTGTAGCGGCGGCCTAAAGGGAGGAGGTTGTATTCCGAATTTTAGTAGTGAGTATGGTCAGATATGATTTTGACAGCTTGATTCACGATTTGCCGCTCATTACCTTGGCAGCCTATCAGCACCAAAGTATGAGAAACATGAAATGCAGGTAAAATAACACACAAACTTCTTACAACAGGCAGTGATTGGGTTGATGATTCTAGTTCAGGTTCCTGTTAATAACATACACAGAATCTCCCTGACATATGTTGACAGTATCAGAGCCGACACAATGGAGGTGAGGTGAAATTGGGTTGAACGTCGTGCTTGAGAATATTTCAGCTCATATGACGACGTGCATGCGTGTGTATGTGTATGTGCGGCTGCTTGTACTAGCCCAGACTGAAGCTGGTTTTATAGTGCTAGCTCACTGAGATACCATGCCGCAGTGAAGCAAGAATACCCCACTCAGACACATTATACTGACTCCGAGCCGACCAGTCCTTGTTGTACCCATTAATGCCGAGCGCCAGGCAGGGACCAACAAATACCATATTTTAATGTCTTTTGGTATGACTCGGTCGGGGATCGAACCCGCGACCTTCCGCTCTCCAGGCGGACGCTCTAACCACTACACCACGGAGGCGGTCTGCCTGCACAATGGAAGGATACAATCAACATCAAGACCTTCAGGTGTGTTGTCAAACCTCTCCAGCTCAGACAGTGTTGGCTTCACTCCATCAGGAATCTGTCAGCAACATAAAAACATCCTGTAGAATCTCATTCTGACATGAAGTGCACTTTATCTAAGGCAAGAATAAATGAAGCTTCTTGACAACATTGATAATACAGCACACTGTCAACTTCTGTAAACATGTACTCCTCAAGTCTTCATTACAAGAGAATGCAGTAACCATTCATTATTAAACTAAATTATAGTTTCAGCATTTCTGTTGCAATTGCGAAAGAATGAAAAATTTAAATCACCATTTCTACAAAACGGCCCTGTACAAAGTCAGTACCATGTCAAAGAATTATTATAGGTTCCTTGTTTTGTACGACCATTACATAGGTCATGTACTGATAAAGTCAATTCATATTCATTAATAGTCATGTGTATTGACCGATGAGGTTGCAACAATGGGGTTACATTTGTTTTGTCATCATGAGAGGAGTCACGACCTGAATGTAGACGGAGTATATTGGAACACTGCTGCTTGTACTCACAATGGCTGACATGACGAAGCTCTTGAAGAGGAAACCTTTCCTGTTGTATCTGTTCCCCTCGAAGATGAGGAAGTCTCCATCGGTTGATACATCTCCACCAATAGCCCTGCAAGTAATACCGAGTCATAACTTTACTGGAGTGAGCGAGTTCAAATTTAACGTGGAATCGGCAGTATTTCAGCCAAAATGTAATTTTTCAAGTAAAATTGATATATTTATACTTATCCTGACTCATGATCTTTTGCTTATCTCCCTTTTCCTTGCGAATGGTAGTGGAACACTTGCATCCCTTGAAGTTCCCGAAGCGGACGTAAAAATACACTCACCCATGAGTTACCGGGAAAAGGGAGGCTAAAAACAGTGTTTCTTCGTCCGGAACTTCAAAGTGATTCAAGTGTTCCACTACCATTCACAAGGAAAAGGGAGATAACCAAAAGATCATGAGTCAGGATAAGAACAAATAAGTGACTGTAGGCTTACAGAGCATCTGCTACTGGCTGAATACAGAGAGCTGACAATCCCTACCAACAGCCGTGCAAGTAACACAGACTGAATGAGTTTAGTTTTATGCCGCTTTTAGCAATATTCCAGCAACATCACAGCAGGGGACACCAGAAATGGGCTTCACACATTGTACCCATTTTGGGAATCGAACCCAGGTCTTCAGCATGACGAAGGCGAACTTAACAACTTGGCTACCCACACAGAATCATCTCTTGCATTGACTTACAAAGCACCCTTTTCTGGCTGAATACAGATGTGCCAACAATCATATAAAATTACTTCTAATATACAGGATGCATATTCATAACCAAGTTACACCATTCATCTATATACATGGCTAGCATTACACTCATCATTCTTAATTTGGGGGTTGTTAAACCAAACACATATTACTGTCGGAGTGAGTGAGTGAGTAAGTTCAGTTTTATGCCACACTCAGCAATATTCCAGCTATATGGTGGCGGTCTGTAAATAATCGAGTCTGGACCAGACAATCCAGTGATCATCAGCATGAACATCGATCTATGCAATTGGGATACGATGACATGTGTCAACCCAGTCAGCGAGCCTGACCACCCGATCCCGCCAGTTAGTCCTCTCCTTACGACAAGCATGGGTTAATGAAGATCAATTCTAACCCGGACCTTCACGGGTCTATTACTGTAGGACTGCTATACTCATATAGGTAGTGTTGATGAAGCAGAGTCATTCATTTAAAGAAAAAGATCTGATATCTACCTGACGCCATCAATATCGAACAACTTCTGAGCTGGTCGACGTTTTCGTTTCTTGTTTTTCTCAGCCTCCTGACTGGCTGAAGTACGGAACACGCCGCGTGGCTTCGAGTAGTCAATGCGTGGAATCAGCTTCAGGTGGACCACATTCTGGGAGGGTTCCACATAGTCCACCTACAAACAGTGCAGAACATGCACAATTTTGCACGAAGTTTCGTATAACGTGTGACACACTTGCGAGAGTGTAATAATTTCTTTATTATCCATTTTATTCATGTACATTTGTGCAGTAAAACACGGTAAGCAAGTGTGACTGCCCTGTTCATTGACATCACGTTCAATTGTTTAATGACGTCACAGACGACGAAATACAGAAACAATGGTTGCTAGGCAAAAGTGATATGTGCACATATGATATATATGACACTGGTTATGTTTCACCATATGGATAATAATGACAAATATACACAGATGATTACCCAGTTTAGCTAGTTCATGTTGCTGCAATACTCTGGGTGCCACACCAGGCATACCAATGTTTAAAGCAGTGAGACAAATAAACATGATAATGAGTCAGTCAAGTTATCATAAATATTTCAGATGACTTTTACTACAAGTACCACCAATACTGTGGTGATGAAAAGGAAGGAGGTGAGGGTGAAATTGGGTTTAACGTCATGCTTGAGAATATTTCGCTCATATGACGACAAGCATGCGGGTATATGTGTATGTGCGGCTGCTTGTACTAGCCCAGACTTAAGCTGGTTTTATAGTGCTAGCCCACTGAGATACCATGCCGCAGTGAAGCATGAATACCCCACTCAGACATTATACTGACTCCGAGCCGACCAGTCCTTGTTGTACCCACTAATGCCGAGCACCAGGCAGGGACCAACAAGTACCATATTTTAACGTCGATGCTCTAACCACTACACCACGGAGGCGATTGGGGGAGGAAAGGAGAAAGAGACAGTCAAAAGAGAAAGTTAGTTAGGGTGAAATTGGGTTTAACGTCATGCTTGAGAATATTTCGCTCATATGACGACAAGCATGCGTGTGTATGTGCGGCTGCTTGTACTAGCCCAGACTTAAGCTGGTTTTATAGTGCTAGCCCACTGAGATACCATGCCACAGTGAAGCATGAATACCCCACTCAGACATTATACTGACTCCGAGCCGACCAGTCCTTGTTGTACCCACTAATGCCGAGCACCAGGCAGGGACCAACAAGTACCATATTTTAACGTCTTTTGGTATGACGTGGTCGTAGATCGAACCCGCCACCTTCCGCACTCCGGGCGGATGCTCTAACCACTACACCACGGAGGCGGTCGGGGGAGGAAAGGAGAAAGAGACAGTCAAAAGAGAAAGTTAGTTAGGGTGAAATTGGGTTTAACGTCATGCTTGAGAATATTTCGCTCATATGACGACAAGCATGCGTGTGTATGTGCGGCTGCTTGTACTAGCCCAGACTTAAGCTGGTTTTATAGTGCTAGCCCACTGAGATACCGTGCCGCAGTGAAGCATGAATACCCCACTCAGACACATTATACTGACTCCGAGCCGACCAGTCCTTGTTGTACCCATTAATGCCAACGCCAGGCAGGGACCAACAAGTACCATATTTTAACATCTTTTGGTATGAAAAGGAAGGAACAAAGGAGAATTCTTATTGGAGTTATCCATGGCTCGACATATGCAAAATGACGACCAAAGAATGAATATTAATCGACCAGGGTACAAAACAACCTTAGCGCTAAGACTACCTCAAGTCTATGTTAAGGTATCTGAGTTACAGTCACCTTAGCACTAAGATTGCTTTGTACAATGGCACCCAGGTTTTTACCCTGACATTAACCTATTCTGCCCTTTAATACCCAAAGGGAGCCAACATGACACTTAATCAGTCTCAAAATTTGTATGAAGAGACAAGCTTGGCACCAAATCTTCTAGGGACGACAAGCACAGAGAATCAGAATGGCACCAAGAATCCCAACATAGAAGTTGGTGGGGGACGGAATGAGGTTTACTTGGAGACTAATCTGCCTCTTAATCAACTCTGCCATTATCTGCACCATAACCAAAGTAACATACCTGAGCAAGGTCATCCTTGAAGACACCTCTCTTGAGTCTGACCCAAGACTTGGACTTGAGGTTTGTAGTTTCCTTCACCACCTTCATGACATCTGTCATCTCTTTAATGGGAACCATCTGTATGTGGAAGAAGCTCATTTTATAGGACAATGATACTCATAAAAACATAGCTAAATCAACTACTGGACTGACATCAAAAGTATCATTGTCATCGTAATAACCCGGTCATAATGACACTGAGCTGGGCACAATGAAACTTGAGGGAGTAAGCAGAATGTCCAGTGAATATCAAGAGAATTGTGTCTTACATCATTAATAAGGTAAGATAACATTATATGTTCCCACCTGCTGTTGCCATAGACCAATCCTGAGGTTGCCAACTCCCTCGATAGCTTGCTTGACGTGGGTCTGCTTGTAAGCCTCTATGTAGATGTAGCCCTTCAAACCCTCCTTGGCAATCACAGACTTGATTTGAAGAGGCTGGCAACATAACATTGATATGGATCAGCCGAATCGCCAAATCTCACCACATGATCCTGTTCATTGTCACTTATAACAAGCATGGATTGCTTAGAACAAATTCTAACAAACATCTTCAGGGGATGGTAGTCCTTTACCTGTCCTTTAAATCACATCTGTTGTGGCAACTCAGTTCGGGAATTAATCAGTTCACCACTGACAGAATTCGAAAGGACTAGGAAGGCATTTCCATTCATTCTCGCGGTACTTACGGATATCGGCTGAAAAAATAACACAAATTCTTATCGTATGAATGCTTGTTGTTTTTAAATGAAGGGCCTTCTCCTCTAACATCTACATCTATCAGCTGCTAGATCCATCAGGTGAATTACCACCGCGAGCCCGGTGATAAACAATGCCATCCGCCACTGATGAAACGAGGCTTCTCCCATTCTCGCGGTATTACCAGGAATTAACGTTATTGAGTGTATGTAAGAGCAATCCTGCCTGAAAGGGCGGGATAAAGTATTGATATGTCCGAGTTGGTATAAACTCCCCAATATTCGTGACACTGCAAGATTTTGATCACTCACAGACTTGGTCCACTTCCTAGTAACCAGTCGGTGATGTAAACAACCGGTAAGTGTCGCGCATTGGCGATTTCGGCAGAAAACGTGTTTACCGCGAGAATAGGAGACGGACCTATACCATCAGTTTCTAACACCAAACAAGGTCCTGGCAACGTTCTACCCAGGGCCATTACTCTGCACTCCTTTTAATCCTCACCTCATCTGTGAACTGATAGGCAATGAACTTCCTCATCAGATGAATGACAGTGGCTTTCTCCTCACCCATCCGGCACTTGACCACCCACAGGTTGGGATCCCTGAAAAGTTAACCCCCTAGCATCAGCTGGTAGTGTTTCCAGTTACAAGTACCTGTCAGTCATTTATTGCTAAAACAGGCCATGTAGCAGTAAAATTCAACCCTAAACCCTTGGTCCAAAATATTGAATGTATTAATATCAAGTCAATTCATAACTGAACAGAAACACTGATCTGCATGTCTTCAAAGTTCAGTGGCTTGCACCACTGCCAATGAATAAAAGTGCAAAACAACAATAAAAATACAAACATTAAGACTTAAAGCATCAGCATATTAACAAACTTTCCAAGAATTTGTTTTGGTTAGTTCCACAGAGTACTCAATGAACTACATGTATGTTTTGTTTGTTTGCTCTCATCATTATTCCTTCCTGGAAATCAGGAGTAAGGACCAGACAATCTTGTGATTGCTATAATGATCCGTTGATTCACAATGACAGTGTAAACGCTACTCAAATACAGCATACTAATGCCGAACAGACCAGTCCTAGTTTCATCCAATACATACGGCCCACATCGTCTCAGTATGTACAGGATTTTCATTTCTTCAGACTGAGCTCATGAATTTCCACTGATGCTCCATGCACTTGACCGAGGCAGACAGTACGGCACATAAAGAGATTGAGGGCATTTTCAGACTCTGTGGACAGTAAATGTTACTCACTTGACGCCAGGCAGCAGCCCCTGTTGTGTGATCTCGTCTGACATCTCCTCTCCCTCGCCGTACCTCTCCGCTGCGGGTGTCTCTCCATACTTCTGTCTGTAGTACTCCTCGATCTCGTCTTCTCGCTGGCTACTGCTCACGACAAACACACGCTATTAGACAACTGCACAGACACATGCATTTATCAGACAGAACTTTCTCAAACCCTCAGCCATATTTCACCAATTATTTATCTTTGTGGAGCTTCAATTGACCTTAACCAACAGTGCAAGTGTGATAGGACATTCTTTCCATGGGCAGTTTCTGGATTTTTCTCATTTTAATATTTTATCACAAAAAATACAATTTCAACTGTAAACATTATTGATTTTCTCAACAAATTCAGGGTACGTGACATTTACCCACAGTGCAACACTTACTCAAAAAGGTGCCGCAGCCTCTGATGATTCTCCATCTCACGGGCACTGTTCCCGTCCAGCATCGTCTTTTTGTCAATGATGTCCTCGGCACCCTCCTCCCACTCTACGTCATCCTCTTCATCACCCTCATCATCAACATCTTATGGAGAAAAAAATTACATTTTTTAAAATAATATTTAGATTCCTAGAGTCCTGTTACCATGGTTACAGATAGGAGCTTCTGCCCGAGAAAGCCTGGGGCTCCTTAGAATGAAAACTTGAAGGTGAAATACAAGGTGTTTTTAGCACACTCATTCACACAAATACACTTTAATAAAGCCACGATTAACATGACATATTATATTTCTCTGGAACATAGGCCTAACATGAAGTCAAGCAGTTGATAAAGTAATGAAACAATTCTAAGATGGTCTATATACACTGAGGTAACCTATGCTTGCTCATCAACAAAAGTATCACTGACAGAACATACGCACCAGCCTCTTCAATGATGAACTTGCTGACTCTGGCACGTTTCTTTCTTCTCTGGCGCTCATCTTCATCCTCATCATACGCCTGTACAGAGGAATTAAAACATGCAAATATCACCGAACAACTGAAAAGTTACAAGCAAAGTATACATGACTAGCATGAGTGATAGACCCTGTACTTGTATAGGACATACTTGTACATGAAGAAGGGTCGCATCTCCACTTGATGCACGCATCAAGAGATGGAGTTGCAATAGATAACTAATGGAATATCAGTATATCTAAAATCCGGAAGAAGTCACAAATATGGCTGATCATGTGACCATTTGGGCGCCAAAGGGAGGAAAGGGACGCTACTCTGGGTGAGTTATTTTATGTCTGCTTTTTTAAAGGGAACTTCAAGGAATTTCAAGTGTTCCACTATCATTCGCAAGAGGAAGGAGACAAGCATAATTAGCATGAGTCAGGATAAGGAAAAATGTATGATTTCACAAATACTATTCATGTCCCTTTCATGATGCATGTGTTCCACACATTCAGTCCCACAATGAACAAATATAGGCCTACAAAATACATACTACGTCATCTTCTTCCTCTTCTTCCTCTTTGTCGCTCCCTTCATCACTGCCACTGCCCCCTCCATCACTCCTGCCTCCCTCACTACCTCCCCCACTCCCTGCAGGGCTCCCTGGCTCACTCCCTGCATCGCTGCCAGCATCACTTCCTCGACTTTGGTCCAGCTGACCCCCCTGCAAACAAAACAATCACTTCTCAATTCTATGATTTTGTTTGTCCTCTGACACACACTTCTCAATATTAAAGCTAATGGCAGTCTGTAAATAGCCCAATTTGAACCATGCAGTCCAGTGAGTGATATCATGAGCATTAATCTATGCAATGAGGACATGATGACATACATCAGCTAAGTCACCAAATTCAAATACCTGATCTCTTCAGCCACCTCTTGCAATAAGCATGGGCTGCTGAAGACTTATTCTAACCAGATCTGCACAGGGTTAACCACTCCACTAAGAAGATTGAGGCAATGAGTGTCTACATGTATCCTTTGTTGGCAACTTTTACCACCTGGGATCCAGAAGCAAAGAGCAAATGACACAATGTAAATATATTCCAGAGGAAGTGAACATATCAATAACAGTGCGATTAGTGCGAGTCACTTGGAACTTGGGTCATCTGGCCAGTAAAAGCAAAATTATTCAAATATGAAGCTCTGCGACAATTCCATGACAACTTCAAAATTTGCATACTTTATTGTGTTGAGTTCAAGCAAAAATCAAAAGATGGCGGTCCTCACTGACTAGTAGCATTCAAGGGCTATAATTCTGAACCTGTTCTCACATTAAGTGTGCTACAAACCAAAGCTGAATATAAATGATAGTAGTAAACAAATCATAAACAACTTCACGAAAGTCTCGTTTTAACAGAAATAGCTTCAAATTCAGAAGACTGGTGAAATAAGGTTTTCATCAGTCTTCTTGACAAGTCAAGAATAATTATTAGGTTTTCCACCTTTTGAATGTTTTGTGTCTTTGTCACTTGTTAAAGGCTGCACTCAGCGATATTCCAAAAGATTGACACAAAAACCATAAATCCACACAACCAGAACACATGTAGTATGACACGCTATCAACCAAGTCACCAAGTCTGACCATTTGTTGGTTTCACATTATTTTCGACTCGCTGAGTGCATGCGTAGAGCGTGTAAAAATATCCACTGGTCAACTTCCGGTTTGGTAGTATTAGTGATATTGTAAACACACTCTAAATAAATGCTGTATGAATATTATTTACGCGTGACAACGATTCATAGGATGAGTACATACATCCATTTGCCTATGCTTTTCAATAATTGATGTCCTATTTTGGTGGCATTGCATCATCAGAGATGAGTGTTTTTACTTGTGAAAAGGGGATGTGCAGGAAGGACGGTGGACGGGTGGTGGTGGTGAGATGTGTTTATACAAGAGCTTGTTAACAAACGTTAAGCTATTTATTTAACTAATTCCGGTCCCTTCCATTCATAAATGAATTGAGATCAGTTAAATTCGACATAAAACCATATATTTGTTTTGATTTTTGCTTTCTTTAGAGTGTGTTTACACTATCGGTAAGCTTACGACCAAACCGGAAGTTGGCCCGTGGATATTTTTACACGCTCTGCGCATGCGCACAGCGAGTCGAAATTAATGTGAAACCAACGAATGAGAAATAGGTGAGGTGTAAGAGATACCAGAACTATCTTATTCTTATTGCAATACATACAGGGGATATTCTGTACCCTAAAAGTCCTCAGAGATAAAATATTTCAGGCATCCAATTTCTGTGTGTGACACACCATCTAGTACTGACCTCACTCTCAGCATCGGAGATGTCGCTGTCCTCACTGTCTGACATTTCTCAAATTGCAGCGGAAACTGAAAAATGGACAATCTCTCTATCACAAATTAAAAAATACATCATTTAACAGGAAACATGAATGAGTCCTGATGGACAGTGATTTCTGAGCTATTTTTGACTTTATTTAGCATGTTTAAGTTCAGTTGCTAGCACGTTTTTCATTACGTTCAAAGAGTTTATATATACAAATAAGTATCATATCACAAAAATACTTCAAGGATATATATAACCTTTTTCAACTTCTATCTCAAGAATACCTACTAAAACAAACTATTGTCACACAAGTAAGGATAAAAAAACTGCCAGTATACACTGTGTACCATTTCTGTATACCTTGCCTATACACCAGGTAAGTATTCAGAGAAGTTAACACTAGCTCATGCAGGGCTTGTAATAATTCCTGCAAGTGAGTACAATTCCCCCCTTGATTTAAGTTTAACATTACACAGGCATCTTATCTTTTGAGTTCAGTGTTAGCCCTGGTATACCACACCTGTTTCATATCTTTACATACAGGGTATTTAGGGTTTTGAGGGTTCATTCTGAATGAGGCTGCAGTTTATAGAATTAACAGAGGTGAAGCAAATATCCAGGGCAACTTTTTGTTATAGCAGTGACATAATTACACTCCACCAGTCCATGGTAGCTTGCTAACATAGAGAAAATACTGTGAGTGAATTGGGCTTAATACCACGTTCAACAATATTTCAGTAATTATAGGTGTTGGAAATTGGTTGAAATCTCACAATTGATGATTGCTTCATTACCAACAAACAATCATCGAAAACATTTGGTTAGCGTCATTTTTCAGATTTTCCTATCCAGGTTGCTATTGCAGAAAAGTATAACATGATGCAACTTGCTACTTTAAAGTGATGACTAATATATCATGAACATAAACCTCCTGGAGTCTTAGAGAAATATTCAGTCATGACTTTTCAGTTAGTGAAGTGACTTTTCTAAGAATTAAACAACTTCGAAGATATGTTCCATTGTCAAGTATTTCAAACACTAAAACAGTAGTTCCAAAATTGTTTATGTTCGATTATGAGAAAATGTGATCGATTGCTTGGTCGTTTAGTCACTGCGACCAATCTTCGATTATTTCAATTAATCGGAACACCACTAGTAATGATATGGCATGTTGGCTTGATCTGGTTGGGAAGCCTGAAGTGATGCAAACTGTAGATGTTTACTCTTTTGATGGCATCCACCAGCACAGACATAAGCTGTTGATAGAGCTTGTACACCTGTTGCCTGTAGCATGTGTATCACAGAGGGTGTGAACGTATCTTTAGCTCACACCAAACTCAGCATATGGAGAATGAAGCTGTGAAAATATTGTCTTGATATGTCAAAACTTCCAAAATTCCCTGTAAGTGTAATATAAGGTAAGGAACATATTGACACTTTCATAAGCATGTGACTGCAGAAACAAAACGAAAGTGACAAGTAATCTGCTTAAACAAGGTACAGTTTCAGCAAGAACAGACATAAGAGTCCACTTTGAAGAATGTGTGCGGAGAAACGGATAGTCTTGTGACTTCTGTAAGACATATTGATCTATTTTCGTTTCCAATTTCTGAGTTCAAAATGACAATCTTTCATTGTTTACAAACAGTTGTTTGCAGGCGTCAGATAAACGTGTACCAGTACCATTAGTCGCCAAAGTGACATATAATTAATTGGGAAACATATTGTATTTAACATAGCAAATGCACGTGTTTAACAAGCAGGGTAAGTCCCATATTTACCCTCAAATACTGCTGAAGTCACAAAATGCTTCTTGTTCACAGGTGGCGCTAACAGATCCGCTTCCGGTTATGAGGTTGTCTCCCTTTAATTACATGAAGACGTATTGTGGTAGAGCACCTATCCAATGTGAATGGCCTTCATATCTCATATCTCGAATCATGTATCACATAGGTTGATACACGAGAAAACATACGTAACCAAAGAAGATACTGACTGGCATACAACATGGCCATTAAAATCATTTAAGAAAATAGATTTGATCGACTTCTTATAAACCTAAGGAGTTCGCGAATCAATATACGCTTTAAGATACAGAATTGTTGTCTTAATCTGTAATATATTTCACTAATTCATATTGAAATATAGAATTCTGACAAGTCACTGTTTTGGAATAGAGCAGTTGTATCTGAAGTAATATTGGTATTAAACCGAATATAAGTATTTACTCACAGCCACATTACATTTATACATGAATTCGCTTCTCAGAGTGAGTGAGTATGGTTTTACGCCGCTTTTAGCAATATTCCAGCAATATCATGTTGGGAGGACACCAGAAATGGGCTTCACACATTGTACCCATGTGGAAATCGAACCCGGGTATTCGGCGTGACGAGCGAACCCTTTAACCACTTGGCTACCAAACCGCCCCTCGCTTCTCTGAAAATCTCAGATCTCAAGACATTTTTCCATGGAGAATCCAGGTTAGAATGAAGGACTTTTTGGTTAGCGAAAACAAAATGCAGGTCGCGGGTACGGCCAACTAAATGTTTTGTCTAGTGGGATGCAGTATGTAAACTTATCTTCCTGATCCAGGGCCAAAGGAACAGGGGGGGGCTTACCCCACCCCAACCCCCTTTTTCAAAACGAAACCATATCTACCTTACCATGACTATAATTTCATTTTGATTTTCAATACTTTTCATAAATTAGCCCCCCCCCCCCGCGCGCGCTCTGAAAACCGTTCCTACGCCCCTGTGATCGACCTATGTTCACTTCTCAAATATGACTGATAGCGGTATGGCTTGTCATTGAATTCGTGCTATTCCGGGACAAGCCGATTAGCTCTCCGAATAGACCTTTTTAAACTTTAAAAAACGTTTGAAGTTAATTTGAATTTAGTAGACCGAAAATACATGCCAACTACACCTATAAATAGTTAGTGAGAACATAAAACTAGCCTGTTTGGCTCGTCATTTCACGCACTGGTCTAAGCAACCTATATGTAAGAAGCGATAGGATTGGGAGAAGGGCTGGATGAGTGGCCTGATTTCATGTCAAAGTATCTTCCTGGGACGTTGTTCCTAATATCAATCACTAGTTTCTCCGTGCCCACTTGCACAAAGCGATCTTAGCGCAACGGCTATCATAAACCCATGTTAATGTATGGGAGCTACGATCGACGTAGCACTAAGATCGCTTTGTGTAAGTGGACGCTGATCCAGATTCGATTCATACATTCGAACCCGTGAAGATCCGGGTCAGAATTGATCTTAGTAACCCATGCTTGTCGTAAGAGACGACTTTGGAGAAACCCGTCCGTTGCTATTTACAATCAGCGCCATCTGACTCCTGGCTTCCCTTGTCAAGTGTCACCCTTTGTTATCTTATGGGATAAGGACGCATGTTATGGATGAATAACTTCTTTATTCAGATGATGCGACGTATCGTTGTTTGTCCTTATCTGACTTTCCAACTTCCATAAATGCCTATCAAACAAGGCATGTTGTCAGTTTTGTTGTTCTCATATGTACATATTTTACCTGCCTGCTTCCCAGCGTAAGAATATGCTCAAAATGTCGTATTCTTAAAGATATTGAAGTTGATGTCCATGAATTTCCCACACAAGGTCAAGGATGAGCATCTTGGCTAATCTCAGATTTGACCTTTGGCATGCAACTTGTGGCGCCTTAAAACACTAAGACTTCCTTGGTAACAGTGCCACTGACCAATGTATCACCAATATTTGAAATTCTGTCGATATATACCACTCAAAAGAAGATCATTCCGGATTTAGCGGAGTTCCTGCAGCGTTATTGGAGGATTCAGATGACGTCGTAAACGTTGTTCCATTTCATCCCAGACCTGTTCAATACCGGTGACAAATCAGGGGATCTTGCAGGCCAGGGTAATACATTAACATTATTCTGATTAGTGAGTGAGCGAGTTTAGTTTTACGCCGCACTGAGCAATATTCCAGCTATACGACAGTGGTTTGTAAATAATTGAGTCTGGACCAGACAATCCAGTGATCAACAGCATGAACCTCGATCTGCGCAAAAGGGAACCGATGACATGTGTTAACCATGCCAGCGAGCCTGACCACCCCATCCCGTTAGTCGCCTCTTACGACAAGCATGGGTTGCTGAAGATCAATTCTAACCCGCATCTTCACGGGTTTATTCTGATTAAGAAACTGCTGTACATCTCGAAAACGTGTAGTCTGGCGTTACCGCGATGAAACGTCACTCCATGGCCGTTCTGATGCAAGAACAGTAAAGCCGCAATTTGCAACATCTCGTCTCGGTACCCCACAGCACTCAAGTTCCCTTCAATCACATCCACTATAGTCTGTTTGCGGTGAAAACATACCGATGAATTTCACTTTAGACAAAAATGTAAATCAAATAAAGAGAAATTAAGATTGCGAATCCTCATAATTTTACCTTGCCATTTCTAAATCTCAGATTTTTATTCAACTTAGGATAAAAGTTGTTAAACAACGATCATAGTTTCAAATCGGTATTATTGGTTTGTATTACAAGGGGTATGCACATTAAATGAAACACCGATAACAAGGACAGTTGGTCTAAGTTAACGCTCATCACGTACCGCACGTGCATTTGTTTCACTGTTCCAACTACTGCGCTTACCCCCTTGTAGTACAAACCAATATAAGCGATTTGAAACAATGATCGTTTGTTAAACAACTTTTTTCCTAAGTTGAATAAAAATCTAAGATTTAAGTTTTAAATTGGCAAGGTAGAATTATGAGGATTCGCAATCTTAGTTTCACTGTATTCGATTTACATTTTTGTCTAAAGTGAAATTCACCGGTACGTTTTCACTGCAACATAGTGTCCTTGCTGCAGTTGTTATCCCACACCCCATTAAAACGCCCCATCTCCAAAACGATCCCCTTCCAGAATTATACAGCCCGATGTAACGTTCATCTGTAGGTTGCTGTCGTCAGCTCCTTGAAGAAGGAAACATGACTCATCACGTTTATCTCCCGATCGCACACTTGGAAGATCTTTTTCAGTTCAAGGGAATTTATGTATGTTTAATATATAAAAACTTAATCACAAGTGTAAACTGTATAATGTTTTGTTTAGGTGCATTATGGCAGTTCTATTCATGTATAACCTTTTGAGGATCACATTCTGAAACCACTTCACACATTGTCGTCTTGTGGGGAATCGAACCCAGGCCATCAGCAGGATGAGCCAGTGCTTTACAGGACGCGAATTCCTGCGTCCTATATACAGAAACATTGACAATGGACGCAACAAAATTTATTAGCGCGTCCACAGGGACTCAGAAAAAGCCCAAATAGTTTTTGTAAAAATTCCAATCACGTGACAATAAGTTATCACTGAGTTTGCGAATAGCTGGGTTATGGTATTATTTGCAATTTAATTACTGTAACAATGTGGTGATCGTGATACAAAATACACATGTACAATAACAGTATTAATAATAATATTTAAGTGTCTAGGACCCCCATTTTGTTGTCCAGGACCCCTGAAAATTAAGAGTGTGAGTCCCAGGGACCCTCAAATACAGGACTCCATGTAAATCCCTGCTTCATCCAGTCATTGAAGAAACAAGAAGACAGTCAGTGATAGAGAAATCTACATTTATTGTAGTAGAACATGGTAAAATGCCCACATTACAAAGAAACATTTTGTAGTTCAAGATAGCACCATATGATGATTAGCTGACAAACACTACTAGTACTACAAGTAAGACATGGATTTAGCTCACAAACAGTTCCAGGGCACAGTGCCTCTGATCTGCAACAATATTTCATGTGCTAAATATATATAAAGATTTACACACCGAAAAGTACAGTCACCCTACAGTGTCAAACGTGTACATACTTCATTCTGTGAATTCTAGAATTATATATTTATGCAAGGTAAAAATTCCAATTTCTTTTTCCTCAAATGAAAGAAAAATATCCAACTTAACAATATTTGATGTGTATATACAACATGTATCTTGATTGTATTTGACCATAAAAGTAATATTATGAAAATGGTTTCAATGATACACTTGAAAATAAACAACTCCTCGCACAACAGATGAATACAGACATGAATTATTCATAAACAAAGTTATTTTTATGCTTAAAAAACTCCTTACCCATCACAACAAAGGTAATATTATGGTTAATATTCAGTTGTCAGGACACCACTCCACAAAGCGATCTTAATACTATGATTGTCTGAAGTCCATATTAAAGTACGGGTTTTGCAATCATCTCAGCACTAGATGGCTTTGTCGAACTGGCTCAGGTGAACAACCTCATACATTCGTAACTACTCGTCCCTTTCCGTAACCTGAAAGTAGACTCGTACCCCTCTCGTAGCCATGTCCGGTAGGAACATTCTCCCAGCCAATCAGAATGCGCGTATGTAGAGAAGAAATTGGGTCAAAATAGGTCTTTGAAATATTTTTCATTTCTACTTGCATAATTTTCCCCAGACACTTCAAGTATATTCTAATTATTGCATAGTCCTCCTAGGTTTTCTGAATTTTTATAATCAGGATATGTTAACATTATGGCGTAGGAAAGTATTTAAGCATGTTAAACATACCCTTGGAGGTAATTTCCTTGGCGTGGATGCCATGTGTGTTTTCAAGTAAACTAGAGTTGCATGCCCTTGAAAATAGTTCGGCGAATAGACTATTTCTTTTCTCTGCGCTTTTGCGCTCAGACAGAGTCATGTTCAATAAAATGGCTATGAGATGGGTACGAGTCTACTTTCAGGTTACGGAAAGGGACGAGTAGTTACAAATGCAACTTCGTAGGGTTACATCCTGTAGGCTGTCCTCTCATTATTTCCCAATCAGA